CAATTAGGATGGATCAAGGAAAAGAATTTTATAATAATACATTGAAATCCCTCCTTAATTCTTCAGACATTAATATCAAGGTTGGCTTTAGCCACAATCATCAGTCTAATGCTTTTGAAAAATTTCACAAAACATTGTGGGCACTATTGAGAGCAAAGAAAAGCAACGGAATGAACTATTGTGAAAAGTCACTTCCAACCTTGATATTTGTGTATAATGCTACACAGCATTATTTGACAAATGCAAGCCCAGCCAGAATCTTCCTAGGCAGAGAATTGAGCCTCCCTCATTTGTCTTTGTTACCCAAATTTCAAAAAAATGATTCCCCCCCCCCACTCTATGGAAGAAGAATTAGACTTTGTCATTGATCTTATGCATGCTGCTGATGATGTAAAAATTAGAAGGCAGTTCCGGTCCTATGAAAAACCTATAGAACAGCTGTGCATAGGAATAAGGCATACTGTGCCTAACTGCCACCCCCGGGAAACTCTCGGAAGGTTTACTTAACCTGGAGCAGCCCAGTAGCCATAAGGAAGATCATCAACAATGCCATGATTGAGGTGTGGGAGTTGAATGTCAAGAATCCAAGAACATATATAGCTCATAGATCCAAATTCGCTTAGCAAAGCGGCTTGGACAAAAAGACGTTGACCCACTGTTCCAACTGCCACACCTACCTCCTGAAGCAATCAAAACACTGGAAGATAAGCTCTTTAATTTTTAGCTACCTGCAAAACTAGTAAACAACAAGATAATTGATGAATTCCATTCACAATCGTCTGGTATTCATCAACGGGGGCAGGGTCAGGGCAGCAGCATGGAGCCCCAATGGTGCCGCAATATGCAATATGCATCAGGCTTGGATATTTCTGCAAGTTCTAGGGAAAGTGATGAAGAACTATTTCAATCCTTCAACAAGTCCCCAGGATCTGAGCAATCAGATGGAAGTGATCCAGAAGTACTCTTTGATAACCATTTTGTGATTGATAACATGGAAGACAGAATGCTAGACAACATGCTGTGTGATTCACCAGAACAGGATGAACATGTACCAGGATAAGCAGCAGATCTCAGTTTAGAACCAGAAAAGGCACAGACTCTGGCAAGGTCGGAAACGGACATTAAAAGAAGAATGAGAGAAGAAAATGATGATGCTCAAGAAATAATTACCCCTGAGCAAACACAACAAGTAGAAGACGCTACCAAAGGGGAGGAAATGGAAGAAGGAATATATACCCCCCAAGATGCAACATTGACAGATAAATCACAACCAGCAGAAGATGAAAGAGAACTAAGGCTGGAGCCATGGCCGTTAGATGGCAGCACAGTTATCAGAAGGAAAGATACAGCACTGAATTTAAGGTGCCCGCTCATAAATCAAGAAGAGGAGTGAGGTCAATAGCACCAACCCTTAAGACCTTGAAAGCAGTGCTTAAGGAAGGGTGGGCGCAGAGGCCTGATACCACAGCACCTCTGAGGAGAAGGAGCACATCAAGAGAGAGCACAGGATCAACAAGGACAAGGGCAGCAACCCTAGAAAGGATTCAAACAGGGAGTATCAAAAGTAGTAGTAGTGCAAGGAGTAGCATTAGGAGCAGGTATAAAGTTGTAGAATCAGTTAGGAATGAACAGGAGGCAGAAGAAAGTAGTTGGAGTGACAGGGAGGATGAGGCAGAAAAAAGTAGTCAAACAGGAAAGGAAGGAATTAATATTATTTCAGGTCAAAGCCCAATAATTGCAAAAGTGAAAGATTCAGTGACACTTCGTCCATTTAATGGAAGATGTAAAAAATGCTTTCTTTTTTCCAGTTTTATTTAACACTATTGTGGAAAAGAAATTGTTTCCATCCAAATTTTCCCCACAGGCAGGAGTGTCACGTTCACCTGCAATTTTTTTGATTAACCATTCTAATGATATCTTTGTTCAGTTGAAGAGAATGGAAAGCCTAGGCAGGTCTGTTTGAGCGGGGCATTTAGTATTTTCTCTCTCTCTCTTGGTCTCTGTCTATCTTTCTGTCTTTCTAACCGTTCGGCAGCCCAGTCCGGCATTTCTGGCAGAGAGAGAGAGAGAGAGGAGAGAGAGAGAGAGAAAGAGTGCTACGGCAAAGAAAATAGTTCTTATTGAAATCGATGAATTATTAACTTAAACTAACAGTAAAAAGACATTATTTTAATAAATTTACATGTCTGCATAACTTTTGATATTTATTGTACTTTTTAATCAGAAAATGTATCATGAAAAAATATATCAAAATTAATGAAAACCTTTAAACTAAAATGTGATGCAAGACTTAAAATGAAACCCTAAATAAGTTTGAATAAATTAAACAAAACTTGAATAAATAATGTCATGCTCAAAATAACTTTAAAAGGTTAAGGTATTAACTAAATACTGTGCTTTTGGAGTTAGTGGGGCCGCTACATTCCTTGCCACCCGATCATTCAACCGACCCTCCTTTACTTTAGTACAGATGTATTACCAAATTTTATCAACAACATACATTTCATGTTTAAATGGAAGATCAGGGTTCTTTTAATTGGTTCAGCCGTTTGAACATGCAAATGCAAGACACAATTAATTAATTTAAAAGAATTGTTCACAATCAAATTACAGTTTTCTTCTTCAAATCCCCAACCGGCCGAACAGGTGTAAATTTAATTGCTTAATGATTTGATCAGTAAGAGAGTTTGTACAAGTTCCAACTTGTACATGTAGATTACTTACTTTTGAATAGAATCAAAAACCCTTTAATTAGCTTAGATTTATTCAATTTTACTAATTATCCATAAATTTTCAAGAGAGTTAGGATCGAAGTACATCAAAAGAAAAACTTACTAAAAAACTCAGAACAGACAAAAAATGATATTGGTGGCAAGATTTCATAATTAGTAAAAAGTAGTTTAACCCATGTTATTACAATTGAACCACTTCTATTAATACAGGCGGTACAAGTTAAAGAGAGAAGTACTTTGTCCTGTAGGTTAAACTTCGTCTCACTATTCATAAAATATGGCTTTCAAGCTTTGTCGTTCCTCTTTCTGGCAGACTGCGTGCAGAGTGACCCTGTAGTGTGCATGAATATTCAATCAATTGAAGAATATAAAGATATATGAATTTATTAATCTAAACATAAACTCTAAAATATACAAAATCTAGATATAAGTTTGGTTAAAACCGTTACAATTATTTAAAGAAATATAGATAAATATTTAAAAAATCAAAACGGAAAAAAATAACTACAAAATTTCACCCCAGCTCGCCGGCCAAGACAACAGATTTAATAAGTTTGACTAAAAATCACAACTCGATAAGGGGCATAATTTCAAATGACACTCAAGTGCAAAGATGGCAATGCTCGATTTACAACAGTCACCCATAAAAGCTTTGTCTGATCAAGTATAAATTAGATATCCATGTTTTTTTCTTCTAACTGTTAATTTTCATTTGCAGGTTTACTGCTAAAGTGACTTGCACATTCTTTGTTTAAACGGAGAAACGGAGAAACTCACAAAAGCTAGAAATACTTATCTAGTCAGAAAACAGACAGCTTCTTTCATATTTCCAATCAAATAAAGGTTACAAGGGTACTGTTGTAAATCAGGCAATTCTATCTTTACATGGAGGGTTAAATCATAAATGTCTAAGAAACAACTCAGGAATGCCTGGTAACAAAAATGTACGTAAAAAAAATGACAGAAATAAAGTAAAAACCAAATAAAAGACCAAAATAAAAATAACGAAACTGTAGTATAAATTTGATACGGGCTAGCCAGAATGGAGAGGGTACCCTCCAAGTTTTAGACTGATCCCTTGAAAATTCTAGGCTGGGCAAGTGCGACAGTTGCAAAACAATGTTCTGATTTTCAGCTTCAGGAGCGGGCGGCCCACTTGCACTGCTATGTACACGTTGAGTGCTTATCATGCGTTTAATCAGATGTGGACTGCAACCAATCTATAATTTAAATAATTTATTAGACTATTAACTTAGTTTTTTATGTACAGTCATAACCAAAAAACAATGAAATAGGAAGACAACGATATTGTATTTGATGTTGTTACAAAGCAAATAGTTTTACTAGACACTTTTTAAATCACTAATTTAGTGAAATGCAGGGTGGCCAAAACTTTTTTGAACAAATCCGTATATTTTCAGAAGAAATCCATACAATCCGTACAATTTTCAAAAAAAAATCCGTACAATCCATATATTTTTTTTAAACCAATCCGTACATTTTTTTAAAATTCCGTACATTTTTTTTAAAAATCTGTACAATCAGTACAATTTTCGAAAAAAATCCCATTTTTGAAAAAAAACATTGAAATTCAATTTTTCATTCATTGTCCTTTGTGTTCAGTTCATGTAAGAGGGTTTAAACTTCTTCAGCAAGAATTCATCTGTAAAATATTGGCTTCATACATATATATAAACTAAATACTGGGTACATGATACTAGGTGCATGATACTTGGATACTGGATACAGGATACTTGATACTGGGTACATGATTACAGGATACAGGATACAGGATACAGGATACAGGATACAGGATACAAGATACAAGATACTGGATACAAGGTACTGGATACAAGATACTGGATACAGGATACTTTATACTGAATATAGTAGGATGGGACGAATTTAAAGAGAAAGATGGGATTTATTTGAGGAAAGGGATGAAAGAGATTTAAATAGTAGGATGGGACGAATTTAAAAAGAAAGATGGGATATATTTGAGGAGAGGGATGGGACAGATTTAAAAAGTAGTATGGGACAAATTTAAAGAAAAAAGATGGGATATATTTTAAGAGAGGGATGGGACAGATTTAAAAATTAGGATGGGACGAATTTAAAGAGAAAGATAGGATATATTTGAAGAGAAGGATGGGACGGATTTAAAAAGAAGGATGGGACAGATTTGAAGAGAAGAAGAGGTTGTATTTAAAGAGAATGATGGAAGGGATTTAAAGAGATTGAAAAGTAAGAAAATTTTGGTTGGGGAACTCGATACATTTAATCTACTTCACCTTTAATTTAGGTTCTTTCTTTTGAACTGATTTGCTTCTTGAAAGTAACTCGTGCTTCATAATCAGTTCCTCGACTAAAAAAAGTTAAGCTTTTTAAGTTAAAATAATAAAAATAACAAGGAAGAAAGGATATCTCGTAGAATATAAAATAAGGAAGAATTGATAACTTTAGCTTTTAATAAACATTTAGATTCCTTTTATTAGCCAGCTTTAACAATCAATTTTTAATTATCAGTGAAAAATGAAATATATTACAATGCCATTTGAAAGCTACCTAAAACAATATGCAATACAAAACATCCTCAAATTTGGTCTAAACCCAATTTTCGCTGCATTTTTAGTCTAGTTCAGAAATAATTCTTTGAAAATCTGAATGCATCATTTATTATAAATTTGTTGATCAATAAGAAATCATATATATATATATATATATTACAATAGACTTCACATACATCCGTCACAAAATTTAATCCAAAAAAGATAAATGAGTTTCATTTAAGACATTAACTTCCTTAGAAAAAAACGTAGCTATATAATTGGCATAATTAAGAGGTTTCAAACTATTTGATCCCGAATTTTAATTATTGACAGGTTGTTGTGAAAAAAAGGTGATTTTAGATTAAAAATAGAAGGCAAGGAAGTGATGGAAATTATTGGTTATAGCCATACCTAGGATATCTTGGTTCAGCTCGGGAATAAGTGTTCTGCTGGATATCAGGGTTCTGCTCAGATATCTAGAAAAAAGAAAATTTTTTATTCATTTATTTGAAGGAAAAGAAGGGAAAGGGACGGGATGGGTGGGGTTAATGTCATGATATTTATACTAAAACCTACAAACAAGCTGTTTTCAATGTTAACTATAGATGTATTTACTTTTAATAGAAAATTATAAACTTTGCTTTGATCCAGAGCAGTCAATTATGGCCATTTTAAAATCCCGTGTTGAGGAAGCGGTCAATATCGACTGCTGTCCCTATCTCTAAAACTATGAATAGAAAGAAAAAAGTAAAAATATTTCTGTTCCTCAGGGAACATTTCTAAATAAAATTGAAAATTTGAAAAAAATACTTTGAAAATATTAAGTTCGGACATAGAGGGTTAAACCTGAACCAGTTCTAGTTCAACTACGTCTCATTTAATTAAAAAAATATTGTATCTACCTCTAATCAATCCATTCAGGCTGGTTAGTGTTCCAATCAATAAATCTATTTTAGCTTTGGCCGGTGTGATGCCTAGAGAGAACTCGTACCTGCAGCGAACTCTGGTTATGCTACTCATCAAAGTGCAAGATTCTTTAAACATAAACAAACACTTGAATTTATGGAACGGATTTGTTTCAGTTCTAATTCTTGACAAATTATTTTCATGTACATTTTTTACAGGGTGGGGGGCCAAAAATCACTATAAAAAGAATCCCCTATTATGATTTTTAAAAAACGAAAAGCAATAGGTATTCGTACTTTTTAAAAACTTTTAAATTGTCTGATCAGCTTCACTACAACACTAAGCGATAACAATTTCCATTCAATTTTTTTAGTTTTTTTTTCACCATAATAATCAGTGAAAAATTTCTGGGAATTAGAGCTAGCGCCAGGGATTTAGGATAATTTCATTAAAATTTTCGAAAAAATTTACATCGAGCAGAACAAAAAATCACGAAACCTCAAAACTGCAGTTTTGAAAGTGAATTTAGAAACTAGTGTAGGGAAGAGGAGCCCAGACTGGACAGTACCAACGCGGGAGGAGTACAGGAATAAGCCCTACCCAGCTGTTATTTGTGGGCATAATTGCACTGCCAGGAACGCAGGCCAGGGTGAGGGATGACCTCCAAGTGCTAGCCCTTAAAGTATGAAGATTTTGGAAAAGGAGACTGTGGAAATGTTGCAGCTGGGTCCTTATGGTTATTTCTCAACAGATATTGTAACTCCAATCTGTCGGGTTTTCAGTTTATCTATAATCTATGGAGGAGGCATCATGGCTGTGTTGTGGGCTAGATGGGCGGCTAGCATTGGAATCAGAATGTGCAAGGCTTGCAAAGAGTCGAAAGCCAAGGACCACTAATTCTCGGCTGCAAAGCCCAGCCGGATCAGCCTAGAGAGGAGGATCTTGGCAAGGCTGAACAATGAATTCAGGGAGAAGATGAAGAAGCAGGGGGAATGGAACCTCCATACTCCCCCACAATGTACATAGTTTATCAAAGACACTATAAGAAGTGGGAGCACTTGTTTTTTTTGCATGAAAGTGAATATCAGAATCATTCAGTACAATAAGTGAGGATTATCGAACACCATATATCATGGCTGTAGGACAAAGGGGGTTTGTCCTCAGTTAGGACATTCAACAGGAATGATCAATATACTCGGAGCTTAGATTAAACATATTTCTCCGGAAATAAAAGCTGACAGGTTTAATGAACTCAGAGATTAGTCATTGCTCAGGCTGCTGCAGCCGTAAGCAATAACTCTGAGACTGAAGTTCACAAAATCACAGGGGTGATGTAGCAGCTAAGCAAAATGATGATTTTGAGAACTTAGAATATTTATCTTGATTCTATATTTGTACAGATTCTGTTGAGAAATCTATATTTAACCTGATGCTAAAGTAAAGGGGCCCAGGGACGCTGGGGTTCACTGTTCATTCACCTGGAATTCTAATTTGGACTAGGGATTTTCAGGTCAAAAGTGTACCTGATCTACCGGCAGTTGACGACGAACCTTCATTTATGATAGTGTACAAGAAACAATTGGATCATGAGTTGGAAACTTGAGCTGAACTTCATTTCTCTACACCATTAGTATTAGTATCAACCTCATTTTATGATTTTTATCACCGACATTCACCTTGTCAACACATGAATTATCACGGGATATTATTTGGTCACTCGTGTGAAATACACCAGATAATCTTGTGTTCCCCATGAGTTTTTGTTAGTTGGATATCAAGAAAGAAATATGGATATAAGATGGGTCCATAAACTCTTGGAAAATATGGATATAAGATGGGTCCAAAAACTCTTGGCAAATATGAATATAAGATGGGTCCATAAACTCTAGAAAAATACGGAAATAAGATGGGTCCATAAACTCTAGGAAAATATGCATACAAGATGGGTCCATAAACTCTTGGAAAATATGGAAATAAGATGGGTCCATAAACTCTAGGAAAATATTGAAACAAGATCGGTTCTTAAACTCTAGGAAAATATGGAAATAAGATTGGTTCATAATCTCAATAAAAAATGGATAAGATCAGTTCATAAACCTTAGGAAAATATTGAAATTAGATTGGCTCATAAACTCAATAAAAAATGGATAAGATCGGTTCGTAAACTTTAGGAAAGTTTGGAAATAAGATTGGTTCATAAACTCTATAAAAAATGGATAAGATCGGTTCATAAACTTTAGGAAAATTTGGAAATAAGATTGGTCCATAAACTCTATGAAAAAATGGAAAAAATCTGTTCATAAACTTGAGGAAAATATTGAAATAAGTCTTATTTAAGGGAGTCCCATTATTTCTTGATTATTAGAAAGTGTTTAACCATTAGATTCTGAATGGCATTGATTATCCTTTTCTCTTGTAATCATTTTATTGTACAGCTCTAATTTTTAAAACGTCACTTGCAGACATCTTGAATTTTGTTTTGCACAAAGGTTAAAAAGCAGGTTGGTTGAAAAGATGATGATTTAAAAATCTGTAATCATCCTTAAATTAAACACAACTCAAGCAATTAAACCTTTGGTGCCAGAGATGAAGATTAAGGGGTTAAACATTAATTTTAAAGTTCTGCAATAAATACACAGTGATCCAAGCTCTCTCATAGACGACGAAAAATCGAAAACGAAACAATCATTTTTGAACATGATTTTTTTTTTAAAAAGTTGGTTTTTAAAATGGTCGTTTTTAAAACAATCGTTTTGAAAAATTATTACAACTTCTCATAGCAGTCTGAATCTATGTGAATATAGTGTTCAATGTCTAAAGCTGAACATGGTATACACAAATTTTAGTTTCAAAACTCACCTGGCGGCATTAAACTCTATCCTGTCTACTCCTGCAACCGGAACACCAATCAATAACTGAATATAACAACTTTAAAATCAAACTGTCCTGATAAAAAAAAACAATTTTTTAGAAGAACAGTCTTGAAGAGCCTATGAAGTTAAAGAAGAAAAAAGTGTCTTCTTTCTAAGGCACCAAAGGCATAATTTTACAGAGTGGCATGTTTGATTCACTGATATACCTGTTTAGTATTTGTCTGAACATCAACTATAAATACTGAGCACACTGTGCATTTGATGAGTGTCCCTGCACTCAAAAATTTCCTTCTCAAAAATACGGATGGGTATCGTTGTGAATGGGAAATGCCACTCTGTTAATAAAGGGTCCCTTAAAATTATGTGTCAAGTCCCTTAACTGTACCTTAGCATCTGGACTGGATACACAGCTGACTCTAGCTATGGTTAATATATCCCCCCAGGGGTTTATTGCATCTCCATATCGTCCTTAAATGAATTTTTTTTAAATAAGCCATTTTCCCTGCAAAGGAATTGAGTCTATAAAACAAATTCAGATTTGTTTACCTATATATTTGCAACCCGATGTGGTAAACTTTTGATATTTCAAACTATAAGATCTGTTAGATCAATTAATCTAAGTTTGAAATATCAAAGATGTACAATAAAGGTTGCAAAGATATTTAAAGATAAGAAAATTTGAGTTTGATGCAAAAACTCAATTTCTTCTGCCAGATTTTTAAATACACATATACAACTGAAACCAAAGAATTTTAAGAGGACTTTTATAGTTCGGCTAAATGATATTTTATTTGCCTTAGACTAAGCCTTTGTTTTTTAACTAAATACTTTTGTAGCTAGAATTCTGGTCAATGTGCGATTTATTTTTTTTAGTTTTTATCATTTTTTGACAAATTTCAGAGCAATAAACAAAAAGCAGCTTTCCAATAGAAACAAAAAACAATCAGGTGACAAAATGTTTCTTGTAAGTGGCGTTAACTTAAATGATAGATGATGATTTTGAAATAAAAAATAATAGTTTATTCCTGACCTAGTCCTGAGTGTTCCAATGAAGAGTAGGAAATTATTACGTCAAAAAGAGGAAGTTCCTGCTTTTTATATCTTTCCCTAAAAAAAAAATCATGACAGAAAGGAATTATACTTATCCATGTCTACCCCTTGCTTGATCTCCCTTTTTATCTTAAGATTGGCAGTTTAAAGAAACCGGAAAGCCAATCAGAAGCCGAGAAATTTTTTATTTTGTCCTAGATCAATAAGAGAATTATCATTGGTTGGATATCCAAAAGACAGGATAAAGAACAAAGTCAAAAGTGTCCACAATGGATACAGAGATTTAGCAATTGGGATTGGGATCCAATACAAGATTGTTCAGCTCAGAACTAATATTTAGTAATTGAAATCTAAAAGGTTTATTAAAATATTAAAAAAACCAGCTTTTATTCAACAATATGTTAAAAATGTTCTGAAAAAAACACCTAAAAACTGCTGGAGTTACAAATTCTAGTTTTGGAAATTCACTTTTAAACATCCCATACTCTAGAGTCATTACAAGTGCTGGATCCCTGAAAAAAGACTTAATCTAAAATTGAGTCATAATATGAATATTTACTTCAATCCAAATAAATTTTAATACAAATAGAGGGTTACATAAATAGACTTTGAAACAAATAGACTTTAATACAAATAGACTTCAATACAAATAGACTTCAATACAAATAGACTTTGATACAACTAGACATTATACAAATAGACTTTGACACAAAAAGACTGTGACACCTACACATAGGTTTAATACAAATAGACTTTGATACAAAGAGGTTTAATAAGAAAAAACACTTTGATAAATTTAGACTTATATATAATACAAATTTACTTCAGCTCAAATAGACTTGAAAATGTAAAGATTTGAATACAATTTTACTTTAAAAAATAAGATGGTATATTCCTAGAGAACGATTTTTGGACCCCAGCGCTCGGCCCCATAGCCCATCCAAGCCGCAGCGCTCGGCCCAGAAAGTGTCTTAACCTAACCTATTCCTAAATAACAAAAAATAAATAATAATAAATTTGCTGAAAAATAAGGTCATGTACAAAATTGATAGGAGGGGGGGGGAGGGGGGTCCAAAAATGGTTCTCTAGGACAGACCCAATAATTTTCAATACAAAACCAAAAACCTTATAACCTCAACAAAAAAAAATGACCAAAATATGTCATGAAAAAAATGAAAAAATCCAATTTCTTACTTGGAGAGGACGATTGCTTCGATCCATGGCTTCTGTGTACCAATTATAAGAATAGATTTATTCTCTACATCAATCTGTTCTAAACCCTGATATTTAAAAGGAAATGAGTTCTGGTCACAAATTTCAATATAATTTGTGTACCTTTGCAACCTCATGGCGTAAACTTATGATTTTTCAAACTCACTATTTAATCTGCAGAAATCATTGTTTGAAATATCAAGGTTTGCAACATTGGGTCACAAAGATGTAAAGATTACAAATCAAAGTGTACAGCAAATATTTCAAATGAAGAGATAAAGTACTTTTTTGTCAAACACAATTATTAAAAAAGCGATTCTATTTCAAGAAAACATGCTGGCCCCCCCTATTTTTTATGCCCCAGCACTCTTGCTTTTTACATGGATCAAAAACAAACCAAAAATAAGAAAAATTTTTAAAAAACAAAACCGAACCAAAAACAATAAAAACCCCCAAAAACAAACAAAAAAGTATCAAAAAAAAAAAAAAAAAAACCAAAAGCAATATAAAAACCCAAAAACAAACGAAAACTGAACCAAAAACAATAAAACAAACCAAAAACAAACCTAAAACAAACGAAAACTAAATAATAATTGTGGCAGTTATGAAAGTCTTCTTCTACCTCTGCGGCAGCGAGAAGACTAGGGATAGTTTTTGAGAGCCACAATATATATCTCCAAGTATCATTTTTACCATGTATATTAGATTAAGACTAATTTTTTTTTGTCTGAAAGGTTAACCTGCTTCCCTGTTTTCTTCACACGCTTTCACAGTAAGCAAAAACTAGTTCTACAGTTTTTTTATTTCTGCGTCTTGATGCATGGAGATCCAACCTTGGCCGTGGACGTCGCAAACCAGTCAGAATTGTCCTCTTCCAGTCATCTCTACGCTGTGGCCTTGAAGCTGCCCGTATTTTGGCTGGACAGCTGCAAATTCTGGTTCATTAACGCAGAGGCACAGTTTCATCTGAAGAATATCACCAGCAGCAGCACCAAGTTCCATCACATTGTTGCCTCCCTAACCCAGAGGGAGATCAATAATGTTGTCGACATCATCAGGAACCCACCTGCAGCTGATCCTTATAGCATCCTCAGATATTGTCTCCTGCACATTCCTTAACCAACTATGCTCGTTGTGAATCCATTATGTCACTGCCATTATTTGGAGAAATGTTGCCCTCGGTTTTATTATTCAGGATGCAAGCGCTTCTTCCTGTATAACATCAAAGTGTCTGTTCTTTTGGTACTCCCAGCTGATGTCAGGTCACATGATAAGACTGTTGACATTGCCACGCTCTTTCTCAATGTGCTGATGAGATCTACCAGAGCAGTTTAACCCCCAGCTCCTCAGTTAATGCTGTGGATTCAGTTCATGCCATGGTTGCACCTACTTCAAGGCAGAATCGCCGTGCTCAGTGTTCACAGAGGGCTCCTAACCCTGTAAACCACCGTTCTCAGACTCCTGCGAGCTCCTTCCTGCCATTCATCTTCACCCTCTTCATGATGGTGTCACGCCAAGTTCTGTACAAAGGCCCTCAGCTGTCAAGCCCCGTGCTCTGGTCGGGAAACTAGAGCGCTGCAGCTGGCGCTGGCAGGTGGATGGTTTTTCCCTGCCTGCCAGTGTAACAAGTTCTTCTCTTATCTACCCCTATGATAAACTGTCTAACGGCTGTTTCCTGACCGATACTGGTGCTTCAGTATCAGTCTTTCCAGCTCCAACCTCCTCTGCTGCCTCTGGTGTACATTTGCTCATGGTAGATGGGTCAACAGTAACCTGCTTAGGCTCCAGGATTATTCCTCCATGGATCGGAACATGGAATGTTTCAGTGGGCTGCAGTGTTTGTTTCTATCCTTGGAGCAGACTTTCTCAATCATAATGACCTTAGTGTGAATGTGAGGAGCAAGAAGGTATTTTCCAATAGTTCATCTAATTTGCCCTTGTCTCTGCCACCTTCTGCCTCGCCTATGCAAGCAGCTTTTCTCTCCACTCCTCAATGCGTGTCAGACCTCCATTTAGACCCTGCCTAACTTGCTGCAGCCAAAGCAGAGTTTTCCGCCATGGAAAAAGACGGTACTATCCGCCATTCCACTTCTCCTTGGGCCTCTTCACTACAAATGGTCAAGAAGAAGGATGGAGGGAGACCCTGCAGCGATTACTGCAGACTTAACACCACCACCGTTCCTGACCGTTATCAGATTCCCATCAACGCCTATTTCACTTCACAAGTCAGTGGTTCAACGATTTTTTCTAAATTGGATCTACAGAAGGGGTAGTAACAGGGGCCAGTCAAGCAGGAGGACATCGAGAAGACCGCCATCATCACCCCCTTTGGGATGTTCCTTATTAACCAAATTTCGTATATTTTACCAATGGTGCGTAAATACCCCTATTTTTCGTAAAATACTTGTACTCAAATCCGAAAAATGTTTGCACTTTTGGTAAATTTCTGGATAAATACGTAAAATATACAAATATCTAATTGCATAAAATTTGGGAAAAATTGTTTGGAAATTTCTCCTAAAATTTCTTGTAAAATTTACTAACATTTTTACATAAAACTTTGACAAATTTTTTGTAAAATTTTTCGAAAAATTTTCTGAAAGTTTTTAATATCTATTTATGTCATTTTAATGGGCATTATTACCCAACAAACAAACAGAGGTTTTCAACGAGATTAGCATGATGGAGAAGTGGTTGATAATTTACGTGTTTAATTCACAGCCCCTCCTTGTGTTATAATTGTGGTAGATCTACTTTTCACAATCTTGAAGATTCCTCCTGTGTGCAGCATTGGTAAATAATGCAAAAATATTCTTTGAAAATTTCGTTATTTCACATGTTGTACACGTAGGAAAATAAACCAGTGCAAGATCTTGCATATTCCTATGATGTTAAACCCGAGAAATGCAATGCCAGAAATTTCTAGATTATAATTCTCATAATTATCACTTGTAAGTTAATTGAGATATTTCTACAGTTCAATTCTTGTCGTTTTTTCATATGTTGTGCTTGTAGCGAAGATATAAGTGCAAGATCTTTCATATTCCCTACTTGTTAATCATGAGTCATGGAATGCCAGAATATCTAGATTTTAATTCTTGCAAATATAACAAGTAAAATATTTGAGATATCACAGGAAGAGCTTCATATGTTTCATTTTTAATAGAGTTGCAAAATCACAACACTTGGTGTCTCTGCTCATCTTTAGGAACTAAAAGTTTATTGTAGTAAAATGAAATATTTTAACTGCGATAAATTTTTAAGATTTTAACATTAAAAGTTTCACATTGAATTTTGCATTGTATTTCTCAACAAGGGAGGAGTGGCTGCTCTCAGGGTTTTGGGCTGCTCTCAGGGTTTTGGAGTTGCTCCCAGGGTTTTGGAGTAAAAATCGGAAATTTATCAGAAAAGTCGATTAAAAAGGGTACTTTTAAACCAAAAATTAAAAAAAGGGCTCTGCTACCCCTTTTTTATGGTCTTTGTTCAGGTATTTGTGGAGAAAAAAATCGCAAATTTTAGTCACAGTAGTCTGTGGCGATCATATAGTTTGAAGCATGCGCACTGGACACTCAGTATCTAATAAGTAACAGAAATACATTGATGGAGAAATCTGTGTTTTATCAAGCCATGCATCAGGTTTTACTGCGGGAAATATATATGCATCAGTACAAGCCGTCCAGAGCTTGAGATAATTTTTATGTTGGACACTTGTCTTCTTTCGATGATAGTGCTTACAGAAACGCGATATTTAAATTTGTTTGTAAATTAAAAATCTAAGCAAGTATTATTTTCATCGTTAAAATAAGAACAATTGCCAAATGTAATATATCTTCCCTGACTGGTGCAACGTTACGAATCTGGTAACCAGTCCTCTGTTTTTTCCTCGGAAAAATAAAATCCTATTGGAACTATAAACAAAAAATTGCAATCAAAAGGTACAATAAATTCTTCAGAGGTTTGATTCATGGTTTATAATCCTGGAGTAAATGGTATCAAATTTATCAGAAAAATTGTAAAACTAGCTTTGGAACCTGTGTACAAAATTTAAAGAAAATTCATGAGTTTGACTTTCATAGGCTGCCTGCCTGCCTCTATTAAAGTCAACTCATTTAATTTAGAACTTTTAAACCAAGCAAAGAACGTTCCCATGGGTCTAAAGACATACAAACATGGAGTACTAGTTTATATGTACTGTACATATATATACTAGAAATTCTTTCTAGGCTTTTAGAGGCTTCGCGCCCATCTTTTACTTCATTTGTACACATTTTTATTCGAAATAAACTACACAAATAACAAAAACCAAAAATTTATTATTAGTTAATCTTTCAAAAAAAATATTCCACATGGAGACAAAGAATTGGTTCGTCAGAATTTCAATTTCTTAGCTGCAATTTTGTCCTCGAGCTGTTGAATTCTTTCTTTACCCTCTTCATTCTCCTCTTCATCCTCTTCTTCAATCTCTTCCTTAATTTTGTCATCCTGTTTCTTAAGCAGTTGAACCCATGTTCTTCATAGTCTTCTTTCTTTTCTTTGACCTCTTCCTTGAATTTTGCATTCTCTTTCCCAAGCTCCTCCCAGGACAAAATACACTTAATGAGTTTTCCCTTAAATTAAAAAGTGGACTTAATATTAATGGGAATGTGAAAAAACTGATGTAACAACTTCCAGCGCTTTCCAAAATTTCAAAAAACTGAAAAATCATCTGTGTTTTCTTAACAGAAATATGTCTATGTACTTTTATGCATTATTTAGTTAATAAAATGTACATAGGGAGAGGGGGAAATATTTAGAAGAGATGGAAGGTTTACTTATACATTTTAATTGAAAATATTACCTTTCCTTTCTCACATGGTTCTTTTAGCTTCTTTGGGAATTTCTATTTGAACAATTACTCCCTCCTTCATGAAATTCCAAATTGACTAAAATTAAATGAATCAAGTCTATACCATATTAAGATTAGGGTTTCCAGTGAAAAGGACAAATTGTTTCGAGAAAATTTCACTGAAATAATATTTTTTGTGACCATTTCGCTTTGTTTTTGCATATCATTAGCTCGCGAAAAAAAAACAAAAATTTTGGGTTTTTTTTCGCGAAATTTCGCTTCAATCTGTTGCAAAAGTATGGCGAACAAATTTTGTTCACTGGAAACCCTAATAAAGGTGTCATAAAAGACTGTCATGATTTTTGATTGTTGTGTAAAAATGTAACATTAGAATTTTGACCTATTCAGCAATAAAACTCTAAAATATTAAGTTTTTAAAGGGACTGTATGCATAATTTCAAGTAACCCTCGTTTAAAGAGCTAGATGCATCCTTAACACCTTTGTCTGATTAAGAATGAATTAGATATAATTTTTTGGGGGAAAACTTTTTATTTACAATTACATGACTTCATGACATGCATATTTATTGTTTATGGCTTTACAAACAAGAAATAATAAGAACTAAAAACTAATCAAGCGAATTAGACAATCCTTTTGAACAGAATTATGACACAATTGAATAACTGATATTTACATTGTAACCCTGAAACCAGGGTCGCAATGCTAGAATGCAATCCTAGGGCTGCAGGAGCTGCAGTTTAATTGATTGCGAATTTTTCTGCCAAAAAGCTGAGGATTTACAATTTATATGAATATGAATATGAATATGAATATGGATATGAATATGAATATTAAAATAAAAAATACAAATATAAATAAGTTTCAAGAACCCAATTAACTTATTATTCTCGCAGAAATTATGAATGTCCACTGCAAATAGAATAAAATGCAGGGGTGTCTATTTTTGTTAAAAATAACCCAACCACCATAACCCTTTTCTTGAAAATGTTTTTTTTTTATCCCTAAAGTTATGAATGTTTGCATAGAGTGGAAAATATTTTTAAAATATAAGTAAATATATGTTGATATTGTATTTGTTACCCATTTCATTGATACAAATATTAATATTCTTTTCAAACTTTTTAATTAAAATGTTTTACCATGTCTTCCTTGAAGAAGTCGGTGGGCTCGCAAGACAGAGTCAACCTCATCAGAGGTTCCAATTTTACCTCCATTCCCTGAACAATTTATCACAATTGAAATCAAACAAAATCTCCAGTCCTAGTATAGAATCCATGTCCACTCCTGTTTTGCATTTCCTAGTATTATATAATCAAATAGCTAAGTGCCTGGCGTTGTCATGTATATTTATGAAAAAAAGAATTTGAAAAAAATAAATAGATTTCGGAACAAAAAGATTTAGATTAAAAATAATCTATTTTAGAAAAACAAAAATTTTGAATTTTTAGTCCATGGGTAGGATTGTTGATCGGTTTTGAAAACGATCGTTTTTCAGATCGTTTTCAATTGTTTTCAAAAACGATCTTTTCATTTATGGAAAAAATGATAGTTTTTGAAAACGACCTACTAGTTTTGAAGTTAATGTTTTCAAAAACGACCATTTGTTCAAAAACGATTTCCATGAAAATTATTTTTTGTTAAATAGATTCAGTAAATCTTATAGAAATGACCTGGATCCGGATCTATTTTTTTCCAGTGCGGATCCAGGATCCAAGGATCCGGATCCGGATACCAAAAATTCTTTGAGCTGAGCAGAGAAAAGATAATTATTTTGGAATTTTTATCACTGAATGGGAACACAAAACCATAAGTTCACTCAACGCAAAATTGGCAAAGCCCAATTCGTAACGGTATTTTTAAGAGCTTTGTATATATTAAATATCAATTGAAAACTCATTATTTCTAATCATGGTTTCTCTACAAAAGTGGCTTTGCATGAAGGGTCACTTAAAAATACGGTTACATTGAAAAAAAAATAAGAGAACTATTTATTTGATAAATCTGTATGGATCACAGAGGGAGGATAAGTAATTATCCTCCCTGTAAAGAGGCAGGATAAGTAATTATCCTCCCTGTAAATAGGGAGGATAAGTAATTATCCTCCCTGTAAAGAGGGAGGATAAGTAATTATCCTCCCTGTAAATAGGGAGGATAAGTAATTATCCTCCCTGGAATTAAAAAAGGAGGGAATTTAAGGTTGGTTATTTCATTGAACAGGAACAGGAGATTAAACGTACTACTTAACTGGGAGTTTTCTTGAGGATAATTAAATAGAGGGGAAAACCACTTAGCCTCGTGCCTCCTCAACCTTCTCGACCTCGCTACGCTTGTGAGGTTTAGAACCCCAAAAAGGTCTTGGAGGCCCTCGGCTAAGTGGTTTTCCCCTCAATTTACTTACCTTAATCTTCCGGTTAAGTAGTAATTAATAGTTATAATAACCCCCCCCCCTCACCATATCTACATAAAGGGGGTTAATTATCAAAAATATCTGTGCTTGAGACCATCTACCAAGACACTTAAAATCTTTACCCGACTTTAGTTCTAATCAGCTCCGCCACTTCCTCCTCCTCATCTGCAAAGATTTTACCAGCTATGCAACCATCGGAGTTCAGGGCTTAAACATTTCTTATCATATATGTTTAATATAATTTCATAAACTAGCCTCTTAAGGCGCTATTTAATTCTAGCATTTGAAAAAAATATAAATGTTCCCTAACTTTTTATCATTTAAAATTTGACTGCATACAATACTTTGACAAAAAAAATTAACAGAGTTAAACTGATTTAGCCAAGAATGATAAAAAATGGCATGAAAAACAGTAAAATGGCTGGCTCATATAAGACAATTATTTCTAAAATGCTTAAATTTCGTTCTTGTGTACATTTTACCAAAATGCTTTCTAAAAAGTGTGCCGAACATCTGGGAATTTTTTTATGGGGAACCTTGGGGGTTGTGGCGTCGGAGAAACTTACCTTGAATGACTTCCCTGAGAACCCAGGGTTTTCTAGTTCCCAGTCAATGTCCCTCCTCAATTCAAGGATTTCATTGGGTTCCACCTTAGCAGATTTATATAAATTGTTAAATAAGAGGGGTGACTTTAGGTCCGCTCTATTATACAATTATTGGTCTCCTATCAATTTTGTACATGGAATCTTAAATGTAAGACATGTGGCCGCAGTGCTCAGCCCCCTAGCTGCAGCACTCGGCCCAGAAAGTGTTTTATTCTAACCTAACCTGTGACCACAGCGCTCAGCCCCCTAGCCGCAGCGCTTGGCCCAGAAGGGGCCAAAAATCTTTAACTAGGAATTTGCTGTGATTTTGGTTAGCATTGTTTTAAACAAATTTTAGGTCCAATTCCAGCTTTAGGGCCAGAAAAAATTAAGTGATAGTGATGCTATATTATTAATACTCTAAATCTCATTAAACTAACCAACTGTTCACCAATCATTTTTTTTGAATAAAAAGGTAAAATCATCAACAAAATGCGAATTCTAGGATATAAATGAAACCCAATAATTACAAAAATATTGTTTTGATCAAAATCAATGATTATTCAATATATATTGTAAATACCTTCGGGCCATTTGGCTTTTCATAATAATTAAGGCCAACAATTGTGACCATCATATTTATCTGAAAATTATCAAAGTTTTATAATATGTCCGGGTCCGTCCTAGAGAACGATTTCTGGACTTTTTGCTGAAGACAATGAGCTTAGAAGCCAATGTTGCCGTGTCTTTTCACTGAAATCGTTGTGTATTCCAAAGTTTGGTTTTAATTAAAAGTTTCCCAGATTTGTAATAGCGCAGTTTTGAAAAAAATGCCGCACATAGTTAGAAATTTTGAAATTTCTCATACAAATACGACAATATAAAAAAGTTTACAGGCTAATAAATGCATTAAAAATTCAAAAAAATGGGTATGGCGCACATTACATATCAAAGTTAATGTTATTTCCTTTCGATTGTAATTAAATTTTAGCTTTTGCATGTGGTTACGATTATCCTTGAGTTAATCAAACATTGCTGGAAAAAACATAGTTTTTCTTAAAAATTTAATACTTTTCATCAGTTTTGGTAAATGGCGCTTTATAAATAAGACTCTAAATTTGTTTTAGAACAAATTTTATGTTATTAATGTTGCGTAAAAATGCTTAATTTTTGTCCCCCAATAAATTTAAGTTATTCGTAGACAAAAAAAAATGATTATTTTCTTTAAAAGCTAGGAAATTATACCATAATAAATAAATTTTTGATACACATAGGTCAGTTTAGATATAAATCACATTTTTTTCATTAAAAACAAGAAAAAATACTCTATTTTGACCTATAAATTTCAGTGAAAAAGCCTAAAAAATGACTAAATTTAAGCAAATCCAAACTATATTGACGTTTTCTCCAATTCAATGGGGTTGTAACTAAAAAAACTTTTCACAAAAATGTAGACAATGAAACTGAAAAGGGGTAGCAGAGCCCTTTTTTTAATTTTCAGTTTAAAAGTACCCTTTTTAATTGACTTTTCTGATAAATTTCCGATTTTTACTCCAAAACCCTGGGAGCAACTCCAAAACCCTGAGAGCACTCCAAAACCCTAATAGCAGCCACCCCTCCCTCTCTCAACAACCCCTTTTAGGAATATCGATCTTTTACATATATAAAGGAAGGAGCATTCTTATAAATATGAACATACTTGAACATTATTTAGACATAAAATATCACTTTGTGATAAGAAAAGTTTAATGTTTATATGTTCAAGATGTTTAATGTTAAAAATATAAACTAAAATGTTAGTTTCTAAACATTTTGTAATAATTATATACTTTTACACAGTATATTTTATAATATATTTATATATCAGAAATCAATTATATATCCCCCCCCTTTTCCAGGATTTTTAAAAAATGTAATTTAAGTAGATGGATAATTTTCTCATGTGAAAATCCTGTGTTCATGTTGTGAAATAATCTCAAGTTTTTGCAGTGTAAAAACTTGGTCCTAGACCTGTGATCAAATCGTTGATATTCACCTCGACAACATGTGAATTATCACGGGATATTGACAGGTAACTCGTGTGAAATACACCAAATAATCTTGTGTTCTTCACCAGTTTTTGTTTGTTGGGTAAGTGCAAAAAAGTTTTTGCTGGGATTTTTACTATTTCTAGTTTGTTTGAGATTAAAATGAAAGTATTTTCACACTGAACGTAGTGAGGTGTGAAAATACTTTTATTTATGAAACTACATTAGATGCCACTAGATGGCTCTAGTAGTGCAAGTTTAAAATCTATGTATGAATTAATGTTCTTACGTTTTTACAAATTTTTCTTCATCATATTTTCTAATTTACATAAAGCTTTAATAAACTTAATTATCTGTTAAATATTTTTTTCAATTGCATCCTTGTGAATATACTCACAGAATCGAGAGGGGGGTTGAATCTTTAAATGCTCAGAGCAAGTTGTTTACAATTAAGATTATACTTCACAGGATCATTTCTGTAGTATGATTGACAAGTTTCCTGTCTGAAATTTAAAACCTTACTCAGCCATGATGATGAGACACATGGCATGTTCAGAGGGTGATTAAGTTACTTTTTCGCCTTGTTGTAGGGCAATAAAGTAACTTTTTCGCCCTAAAACGGGTAATATTAGGTGTGATAAGTTCTCTCAAAATTGAAGAAAATTTAACAGAAAAATTTACTAAATACTTAAGCAATTTTTTCGGAAAATTAAAAAAAAAATTTAAAATATTTAAGTAAATTTTACACAAAATATACTAAAAATAATTGGTAAATTTTACAAGATTTTATTAGAAAATTTTGCGCTAAAATGGGATCGTTTTTATGTAAAATTTATGTATTTCATTTGCGTAAATTTTACTACTTTTGACCCAAAAATACGTGTAATTTTTTAATAATTTTCGAAATTTGGTAAATAGGGTTTGAATTTCTGGTGATGTCATTCGGCCTCCGCAATGCTGGAAACATGTTTCAACGTCTCATGAACCAGATCTAAGGGGATCTTCCTTACTGTTTTGTGTATGTAGACAACATCCTGGTTTTCAACAAAGATCTAGCCTCTCACGTCCCAGTAGGTATGAAAAGCTTTTTTTTTCCCAAATTTAATCTATATATCTAAAAATAAATTGGCTTAAAAGGATATTGTGATTAGTCTATATCTGATGATTAATATCAACAAATAAATAACATAGTGTATCAAGTGTGTTTTGATATTTCTGTATTAAAATTGGTCTGTACCAACTGAATAATATCTATAATATCATGAGTATGTGTAACTCAAATCCTTGAAAGAAGGATATGAAATATCAAAATGCCAAAGTTAAACTCACATCCAGCCTCTCCGGGATGTGTTTCTCCTCTGTCGTGAGTATGGTCTTGCTATTGGCCTGCCCAAGTGCAAGTTTGCTGTTAAAGAAATCAAGTTCCTTGGCCACTGTTTCACCGCCTCAGGTTGTTCTCCCTTGGTAAAGCACTCTGCCACCATCTCAGCCTTTCCACAGCCAACAGACAAACCCAGCCTTTGGTATAGTAAGGTCAATTTCTATAGAAAGTTTCTCTGTGTTGCAGCCCAAGTCATTGCTCCTCTCACAGATGCTCTCAAGGGTCCTGGAAAGACCATTCCCTGGACTCTACTCATGGACTCTGCCTTCATCAGAGCAAAACATCTCCTCACATCTTTCCAGAGCTGGTTCAGGAGATTGATCTCATCAAGGCTTGTTTGGCCAGGAATGTCCAGAGATGTTGGTGTTTGGGCAAAATCCTGTATTCCATGTCAAAAATCCAAGATTTCTACTCACGTTCATTCTACATTTCCCTCTATTCCAGTTCCAACACGGAGATTTGCTCATGTCCATGTTGATATTGTTGGTCTTCTGCCCTCCTGTCAAGGTCATTCTTATCTTCTCACCATGATAGACAGAACCACAAGATGGCCCAAGGTTGTTCCTTTGTCCTCCATCTCCACTGAGTACTGTGTTTGTGCTTTCATCTCAACCTGGATATCAAGGTTCTGGGTTCCTACTGTTCTCACATCAGACAGAGGTTCCCAGTTCACATATTCAATCTGGAATGGAGTATGTTCTGTTTTGGGGATTTCAGCCTCTACTATGACCTCCTTCCATCCAAAAAGTAACAGACTGGTCAAGAGGTTCCATATGAGTTTAAAATCTTCTCTCCGGGCCAGGTTAGCAGGTTCAGACTGGTTTTTTCATCTTCCCCTAGTTCTCTTTGGGTTTAAGAGCAACTCTTAGTCTCCAAGGCTGTATACGGTTCTCCTTTAACCTTGCCTGGAGAACTAGTGGATGTCCCTGAGCTGCCTCCTGATGCCTTCCTAAGAAAAGTTGACAGAGCCATTGATTGTTTTGCCATTCCTTGGCCTCATCATGTTCGTCCTGTTTCTCCATCTTAGCTCCTTGCAGCCCTCTTGACAGCCAAGTTTGTGTTTGATCCCAAGGATGCAGTTATAGCAACTCTGGCTCCACATTTTCGTGGACCTTACCTGGTAATAGGTAGGCAGAGCAAATAATTCCGCCTCCAAATTGTTTTTAAGCAGGATTAAGTTGCTGTAGATTGCCTGAAGCCCGGTGTTCAGTGATGCTCCTGTTACTCCAGCTCTTCCTCCACTTTTGAGGAAGACCCGGCAGTCATCCAGTGGCAAGTTCTTCGGATCTTCTGCCACTAGAATACTTAAGAGTCAGGTTCCAACTTGTTCCCAGTGTTGCCAACTCCAAAAGCGGGGTCTAGGCCCGAGAGAGGATACAATTAGGCCCAAAATCCAATCTTTAGGTCCATATTTTCGAATTCGGGGCAAAGCCCCCCAACAACAACAAAAAATGGGAGGCGAAGCCCCCAAAAACATTTTTTGGGCCTGAAAACAAATTTTTGGGCCTAATTTTAAATATTTTACCAAAATACCTAATTTATTACGACCTTTGATTCAAATATCTTCCAGCATAAATATCTGAATAGAAAATTAGCCTCTGCATCCACATTCAATTTCCATTAAAATTTTTAAAATGCACAACATTTTTTTTAAAAAATCTGCAACTTTTTTTTATTGTTTTATTGTATATATATAATATATATATAAAACAAAGAGAAAATGTTCTCAATTGATATAGATTGGCACAAAGCGACCTGAAAGCTAATAAATTATAATATGCATTTGTATAGAATCCATGATTTGTTACAGTTTCTACCTAAGGGAATAGGTTCAGACATCTCCATGTTTTAAACTTTAGTTTACTATATTAACCTTGATATATGAGGTCAAGTGAAAAATTCTAAAACTCGTGAAGTAATTTCATTCTTATTTTATCCAAACAATGCCTGTCTGTTTTCTTTACCAATTAAGATCAACAATTTTCATTCGGCCCTAAATTAGGCCCAAAGCAATTTCATTCAGGCTGTTTTCTCATTTTAGGCCTAAAGATTCAGGCTTTTGGCAACACTGCTTGTTCCTCAAGTTCTTCCACCACCTGTACCGGCACGACAAAATCCTTACAGGTCCTCAAGAGATAGAAGAATTTGCTCCACCCCGTCTCTGCCGTTCCTTCTGGTGGGACTACTGTGGCGGTTAAGAAAGTCGTCTTCTACCTAAGAATCCTCAAAGGCAGCAAGAAGACTAGGGGGAGTTTTGGAAAGCCACGATATATTTCTCCAAGCATTATTTTTTCCATGTATATTAGATTAGATATAAACTTAGTTACCCTGAGACTCTCTTGTCGTTATTTAGTCAACTGCCAAAGTAAAAAGAATTCTGGCAAAGAATCACCTGATTTATAATTTCACTCCCAGAAGCATAATTATCTTGTGGTGCCCCAGCCAACAAACTGTCAACTAATCAAACATTGTTTTTTTTTAAATGGATGACGAACGTCTTTGAACTTTTTTTTTTAAAGATTTATTTAAATACGCCCTAAATTGCCAAAGCAAATTGCCAAAACAGCTGAGAAGGTTGTTTAATGAAACTTTTGATCATATAAAAGAGGGCAGAACTTTTGTATCTTAAACTTTTGACTTCAGCACTCAGTCAGTTTATATCCTCCTCTACCTTAGACGTTGGTTACTTTTCTAAAATCAGAAATGGACAATATTCTCTGAATTTTAAATGGAGCGTCTGACTGGACAAGGTAGTGGAGCTGAGAGTGCAGTATTGTAGAGACATTTTTTGCAAAATCATTTGAGACATTTGTATCGTGTATAATTACAAAGTAAGGGCAATCAAATGACTAGCTAGCTTCCAAATGGACAGTCCGGCAACATTTTAAAGATCAAATTTGTGCTCTTACTTAGCAATTATTTACCGTACACATGTCTTGTAGGTCTCGAATGATTAAAAATTAAAACATAATTACTGTCTTACACAACTAACAAAATTATTACTTACTATATTTTTGTATTTCTTCTTTACTATAAACTCCTACAGTCTTGGCACCCCCTTGGAATGTCTCATCTAAAACATTAAAAATTCAATTTGTTTTCTCACTTTTAAAAGTAAAGAATTAAAAATTGCATTGAATGGACATGACCAAATAAAACGGTGCTATGGAAACGCATCAACACAGAAACGCCTCAACACGGAATCGGGCCAAAAAAAAACGGAAACCTCCCCAAAATGAATTTTTTTGAGGCATTTACTGTTTTTTCAAAAATTATCAGAAATCCCTCAAATCCAATTTTTAGAGGAATTTCCCGTTTTTTTTGATCTGTTTCCTCAAATTTAAGGTCGGATTCCGGTTTATCAGGGTCTTATATTGTTGAGGGATTTCCCAATATTTTTTTAGGGATTTCCTAATATTTTCGATCCGTTTCCTCATTTTTTGGGTCCGTTTCCAGTTTTCAGAAAAAGTTTAAAATTCTCAGTTTGTTGATAGGTTTCCTCTTTTTTGGGTCCGTTTCCTCTTTTTATGGGTCCATTTCCGGTTTTCAAAAAAAGTTTTCAAATCTCAGTTTTTTGATCGGTTTTGTCTTTTATTGGGTCTGTTTCCTCATTTTTTTTGGTCAGTTTCCGGTTTTCATAAAAGTTTTAAATTCTCAGTTTGTTGATCGGTTTCCTCTTTTTTCGGGGCCGTTTCCTCATTTTTTGGGTCCATTTCCGGTTTTCAAAAAAGTTTTAAATTCTCAGTTTGTTGATCGGTTTCCCCTTTTTTTAGATCTGTTTCCGGTTTTCAAAAAAGAATTTTAATGGTGCAAAGATTTAGGGATTAGAATAATTGGATTTGTGGCAAAATCTAGAGAACATTCTGAAACTGAGCGTGGCAAACTTCTAACTGATAATCATCTTTGATAGCTGTTTTTTGATATAACTTATATAAAATGGAAAATGAAATAAGATTATAAATGTTGGATAGAATGATCAATCATAAAATCAATAACTTCAGGAGAAAACATAAAATTATCTGTCCTTTTTCAATGTAGATGATTAAAATTATATATGTATTTTGATGTTTTTTTTTTCAGAATATATAAATGTTTAGCTACGCTCGGGTTGAATTCGCGGCGGAAGAACGAACAGGAGGGTCCTTTGGTTGACAAAGAGGAGGACGTCCATGAGGCGGAGGAGCTGCAGGTAGCACTGGAGAATCTGAGAATACTGGTTTAAGACAGTCCACGGAAACTGAGTCTATCTTGTCACCAATCTGGAGGCGGAAGAACTTACTCCGCCGTTCAAGAACCAAGTAGGGACCACGATAAAGAGGACTGAGTGAAGGTTTGCTCGCGTCCTCTCTAACAAATACAAACTTGGTGGTCCTGAGAGCTGCTGGAACTTCAACTGGAGGCGAATACTGAACGTGGTGGGGCGGAGAAACTGAAAAACCGGCTATAACTTTCTCCACCTTACTGATGAACTGTGCATTTGGAATCTCTGGAGCTTCTAAAAATTCACCAGGAACTGTCAGAGGAGAACCGTATACTGCCTCTGAGACGGAGAAACCTGTGTCTTCCTTAGGAACTGAACGGAGTCCCAGCAAAACCAGAGGTAGGTGAAGAACCCAGTCGGAGTCAGCAGCTCTGGCTCGGAGAGAAGATTTCAGGGATCTGTGAAACCGCTCAATCATGCCATTTGACTGTGGATGGAAACTTGTTGTTTGAGAGGTAGAAATTCTGAGGACTCGACAGACTCCGGCCCACACAGAGGATGTAAACTGAGCACCTCTGTCTGAAGTCAATGTAGCTGGAACTCCAAATCTCGAAATCCAGGAAGAGATAAACGCCCTCACGCAAGTTTCCATGGAAATTGAAGACAAAGGCCAGCGTGTAGTTCTGTCAATCATGGTTAGCAAGTAAGAGTAACCCAGACTGGACGGTAGAGGACCAACTATGTCTATATGAACGTGAGAAAACCGTCTTCAGGGAACAGGAATCGATGGAACAGAAGATTTCACATGTTTCTGAACTTTACTCCGTTGACACTGGAGACAAGACCTGGCCCACAACCCAACATCTTGAGCTAAACCAGGCCAGACGAAACGCGCGGAGACTAACCTCCGTGAACCTCTTACTCCAGGATGAGAAATATTGTGAAGAGCAAGGAACACAGGTTTGCGGAGAACAGTTGGAACCAATGGTCTAAGATTTCCTGTAGAATTATCACAAATTAAAATATCCCCGGAATCCAGGGTAATGTTCACTATTGAGGGTGAAGATAATTTCTTCATAGTTTCCACTGAAGAGCAAGATTTCTGTAGAGATAACAGTTCGAAAAAATTAAAACCTGGAATTGAAAAATCTTGATTGACTGCTTGACTGCTTGGCACAGATGAAGGTTGAGGATCTGACACCGCCGACACCGCCAACACCTCCGACACCGCCGACACCTCATACACCTCAGGAGCGGAATCTCGGAAGGAAGGAGGATCCGGAGCAATGTGAGATGACTTGGAGCTTGGGAGTAGGGGTGGAGAAACCGGAGAAATTATGGTAGGAGGCGGAGCTGACTTGGAACGAGAGGGAGACGGAGATACAGGAGCTGGAGCTGGACTAGGGCGCGAGAGAGCATCATCCACCACATTCTCCGGGCCAGGCACATGCACAATGGAACTCGTAAATTCTGTGATGTAGGATAGATGCCTCTGCTGTCTACTCGACCAGGGCGGAGAACTCCTGAACAAGGCAGATGTTAAAGGTTTGTGATCAGTGTATAACGAGAATTCTCTACCTTCTAACATGAAGCGGAAGTGTCTGATAGACAGATAAGCAGCCAGGAGTTCTCTGTCGAAGGTGGAGTACTTCTTCTCTGCTTCTGATAATTTCCTGGAAAAAAATGATAAAGGAGCCCAGGTATCCTGAATCCTCTGTTGTAGTACGGCGCCAACGTGAGAATCCAAGGCATCAACAGCAATGGAGATTGGTGCAGATGGACGAGGATGAATCAGCTCAGGGACTCTGACGAGAAGATCTTTGGCACGGGGGAAGGCAACATCGAGGTCTGGAGTCCATGTGAGCGCCCTACTAGTCCCCTTCAGAGCGTCGGTCAAGGGAGCTAGTACTCCAGCAGCCCCCCGGAGAAATTTCCTGTAGAAGTTAAGCATGCCGAGAAACCTTTGCAGAGACGGTTTGTCAGCTGGAACAGGGAACTCAGAAACTGCTGTTGTATGCTTGACCAGAGGAGAGCAGCCCGTAGCAGAGACTAGATGACCCAGGAACTCAATCTCAGGAACCGCAAATACACATTTCGGCAAACCAATAGTCAGTCCATGCTGTCGACATAGTAAAAGGACCTCACAAAGATGATCTACATGTTGCTCTAGGCTGCTGCTGAAGATTAGAATGTCATCGACATAGACGAAACAATAGGGTAGATCGCCGAGGATGGAATCCATCATTCTCTGGAACGTGTTCCTAGCATTCCTGAGGCCAAAAGGGAGGCGAAGAAACTCGAAGGTTGAAGGTCCTCCTGCCGGTCAACTAGTTTTCCGACCAGGAACACGGAGCTCTGCATTTCTTCGCTCTTGACCCCCATGCTCGATGATAATAGCACAAGGTGGGAGACTGAGAACGACTGGTCTGACGGCTGCTGGTGTGAGGAGTAGCAGAGCGTCGAGAACGGTTAGGAACTGAAGGTCTAACGGCATTGACAGAGAGTTCCTCCTCCGGAGTGCTGGAGACTGAGTAAACCTGAGAAGATGAAACCCTACTCTTGTATATTTCATCTGCCTTAAGAGCGAAAGAGATCGGGTTGGAGAAATCGTCTCTGATCAGATGGGCGCAAATATCTGTGGGTAATCTCTTGAGGAAGGCTCCTTTAAGAAAAAAACACGGCTCATGACCAGCAGGAAGTAAGGCCAGCATGTTTGACATTAGTTTAGAGGGCTTCATATCTCCAGATAAAGGAAGATTAGAAATCGCCTCGTACCTCTGGTAGTCGTCGAGGGCGAACAACTTCAGCAGGCGGTCCTTCAGAGCTCAATAGGGATCAGCTGCGGGAGGAGACTTAATAAGGTCGAGAACCTGGTTAGCAGTATCTTGGTTGAAGGCGGAGACACAGTTGTAAAACTTCGTAGAGCTGGACGTCACTCCCTTGAGCGCAAACTGGGCCTCGACCTGGATGAACCAGGCTTCCGCAGACTCCGACCAGAAGGCCGTAACTTTAACTGATACTGTGTTTAATAGGTCTAAAGAGCTTGGTTCGGCTCGGACCGGGACATTATCACCGTCCTTGTTCATATTCACTTGAGCGAGTAGCTTAAAAAAAACAGTCTATAGTGTTGAAACGAACAGTCTATAGGAGCAAAAAACTCGGGGTCACCAAATTTAGCTACGCTCGGGTTGAACAACTAATAGTTTAAATAACTACTTTATTAACTGGACTAAAAACTATATCAAATTTACTTTAGAATATCATGTTTCAAAAACCAGGGTGACGTGGCAGGAAATCTGAGTGCAGCTTGCCGCGTTCGAATATCCGGCTTCAGGTTGAATCGTCTTCCGCCACAAATGATTATTTCTTGTAGTTATATCTGCAATTAAACAAGGTACTTAACAAATTTTCTTTGGCGCACACATGCACAGAATTGAATGACTCATATCGTTAATTTTACAGTTGTTGAAAGTATAAATTTTTAAAAAACCCCAGGAAAAAAAAGATTTGAATTAAACACCAAATCTGCATGCAACAACTGATAAATTCCTTTTTTTCAACGTCAAATCCTTAAAAAAGCACTTTTATCTTGAACATTTTTTTAAAAGGGGGGCAAGCCCCCCCCCCCACACCCCAAACCATTACAAAATAATATTTTGCCCCCCCAGCAAAAGTGCTAGTTGCGCCTCTGGAAATTAGAATATAAACAAAGACAATATTTTTTCAAAGTTTTACAGAGTAGCATTTCTAAAGATTTAAAAAAGTAACATCCTTTTCCACTTAGAGTAGAACTATTTTTTATTTTACTTCAAATAAATTCAGTTTTTTAACAGATTTTTGTTGTTAATGTAAAATGAATGACTATTATGAAGAATATAAAACAAAGTGAAAGCTGAAAGTTACAGAGGCCCAACTAGGGGGGGGGCGGCTGGGCACGCGCCCTCCCCTAGCACTTGAGAAGGGGGGGCGCCCCCCCCTGCAGAATGAAAAGAAAGAAAGAATGGCGGAAATCAGTATCACAGGAACAAGAAAACCAATAGTGTTATTGTAGAAATTTTATTATACTATAGTTAGTTTTAAAAAATATATTTTTATCTTTCTCAATTCTCAAGGCTAAAAGCTATTGTAAACATTTAATGTAAAAAAAGTTCTGAACTGTATTTTATTTGTGTTGAGCTTATAGAGTACTCGTAGATATCAAACTTTAAATTCTTTTGGTAAAATATTCCAAGTTGAAAATATCAAATGTTTACACCACTCAGTGCAAAGATTTAGGGATTATAATATTTGAGTTTGTGGCAAAAAATCAGTTCCAAATCTAGAGAAAATTTTGAACCTGGCAAATTTCTAACTGATTATCATATTTGATAACTAACAAGATTTATAATCTTCTTTGACAGAAGTTCTATAAAATCAAAAATGAATTTAGATTATGAATGTTGGTTAGATCAATCATTAATTCAATAACTTCAAGAGGAAAGGTAACATTATCTGTCCTTTTACAATGTAGATGATTGAATATATTATTTACCTATGTATTTTTATGATTATTTCTTGCAATTTAATCTGTAATTAAACCAGGTACTTAAAAAATACTCTTTTGCGATTCGCACACATATTTAATGATTATGAATTGACTCATATCATTCATTTTACAGCTGTTGGAAGTATAAATTTTGTAAAAACACAAGAACAAAAATCGATTTGAATTGAACACAGCCAAATCTGCATNTAAAAACACAAGAACAAAAATTCGATTTGAATTGAACACAACCAAATCTGCATGCAACAACTTAAAATTTCCTTTTTTCGACTTCAAACCCTTAAAAAAGCACTTTTGTTTTTTAAAAAATTATCGAAAAGGGGGGGAAACCCCCCCTTTACCCCCACTCCCGACCATTAAAAAATAATATTTTGCCCCCTCCTAGCAAAAGTCCTAGTTGCGCCTCTGCACTTTGTTATACTAAAAATCCTAAAATATTAAAGATTTGAGTCATAAAGATAGTCATAAAGCCACTGGATTAAATCAAGCCTAAAATATAAAAATGAGTAAAAGTCAATGCTTATAAATAAAATTCATTAATAAAGGCCTCTCTATCTTATATCCTTTAAGTTCTATGCAAAGGATTAAAACTTAAAAGTGGTTTATTCCAATCTCAAGCGTGAAAATATGCATTATTAACAGTCTATTTTTGTTTTATGCTTCGTCTACAATCTACATTGTACAATATACGCTATTCATTCTACTGTGTACAGAGTGTACAGTTGGTAGGTAGAGTACAGTGCACCATCTACATTGGATATGTACTGTGTACAGAGTGTACAGTTGGTAGGTAGAATACAGTGCAACATCTACATTGTACATGTACTGTGTACAGAGTGTACAGTTGGTACAGTACAGTGCACCATCTACATTGGATATGTACTGTGAACAGGCTCAGAGTGTTCAGTTGTAGGGTAAGTGCCCCATCTACATAGTACATGTACTGTCTACAGAGTGTACAGTTGGAAGGGTACCCGGTACAGTGCACCATCTACATTGTACATGTACCGTGTACAGAGTGTACAGTTGGAGGAGTATAGTGCAACATCTACATTGTACATGTACTGCGTACAGAGTGTACAGTTGGTAGGGTACAGTGCACCATCTACATTGTAAATGTACTGTGTGCAGAGTGTACAGTTGGTAGGGTACAGAGCACCATCTACATTGCACATGTACTGTGTACGAAGTGTACAGTTGGAAGGGTACAGAGCATCATCTACATGTACTGTGTACACTGTTTAGAGTGTAAAGTTGCCGTGATTCGGAAAGTGCCGTTTTCAGTGAAGTTTAAAGCGCTAGAAAGTGCTAACAATATCAACATGCAGATTTGAAATAAATACGTCGAGCAGCATCATTATCCTAAGGACCTATAAAAATAAAACCATAGAAACCCATTTTTTCTTTAAATTCCAAAAAAGTCTCATTTTATTTGGATTTTAAAGGTAAACAACTTTTTTCAGATTTAAACATGCTTTGCGATTTAGTTAGTGCAGTTATAATATTTACCCGATAGTTTCCGAGCTAAAATAAATTATATTTCATAAAAAAATAATATTAATTTTGAAGTTTTCTTAAAAAGTACTACTACACATTGTCATCTATGTATATTGTATATGCTGCTGAAGAATGTCCAGCATGAAACACAGTGTCCAGCAATAACCAATCTTAATAAACAATAGAAAATGTTCTATACTTATTTTAAGAAGATATATTGTATAATAATGTAATAATAATAATAATTATTATTATTATATATATATATATATAAAAATTAGGGGGAGTGAATTTCCTAAAATAAAACAATTTGCTTAAAATCATTACGGCGATAGTCATTTCTTATGTAAAAAACAATTTGACCTCCAATCAAAAAGTGTCATAAAAGAAATTGTTTTTAGAAAATACATGCGAAATAACAGATTTCAGAAAAAGAGACATAGAGGTCAAAACTTGGAGTGCCAGTTAGCTAACGAAGACAACCTCCAATCAAAACGTGTCATTAAAAATTGTTCTTAGAATTGTTTTTTACATAAGAATTGACTATCGCCATAGTTCTGTGATGAAATTTTTAAATTCACTCTCCCCTAATATATATTGCTTGTCTGTCTGTCCGTTTAAATCAAATAACCGTTAAAACGGCTGAACTGATCGGGTCCAAATTTTCTGTAGAACCTCACATGATTCCAAGGAAGGTTTATAGAAGCTCAAAAGTACAAAAAATTTAGATTTTTGAAAAATTTGGAAAATGCGCGAAAAAAATATTACTAAATCCCCGAACTTTTTTTGTTTTTGCCTTATACTGTAGAAAAAGAGTAGGTGCTCACAGATAGAGCCACAATCATAAGTTGATATAGTAAATAAATTACTAAATAAATATAAGAGATATCCATGATTGGCAAAAAAACATAAGCATCGATGTAATTTTGCAAAAACATAATCTTCTGTAAATATTGAATGATTCAAATAAAATGAGACCTTGTTCTGGAATATTGATCCTGGCTAGACCCCTGAGTAGTTCTAGTGCTGCTAGACTTGTCGCTAAATCACTTTTCCAGCTCGAGATTAACCTTACCAGTTCATTCATCAGGAATAGTCTCAATACAGGAGGGGGGGGGGGGGGGGGGGGGAGGAGGAATATTTCTTTTTTAAAAAAACCTCTTTTTTCAGCGGTGTACAATTTATTAAAAAATCATTTTAACCCCCCTTTTTTAACTCTTTTTTTCCCAGGAGTAATGTAAACAAAAATAATTTTATGGGTTTTATTCTGGGTGAGGTGTACCGTGTAATTCTTGAAAATAAAAACCCTGATATATAAAATGCCACATTCGGAAAAAGGCAAAAGGTTTAAAACAAATTGATTTTTATTAGAAAAGGTGTTTTTCATCAACATAAGCCTCTATTTGATATTTCTTTGTTTTCTTTTCCAGAAAAAGTAAAAAAAAAAAAAGTTAATTTGATGAAATGTTTATTCCTATGACAGACTAGATAGGTGGCTCGGACAAACAGTGCATGAGCAGAATCTGAACAGAAAATAATTTATCTTTATATTCATACAAGTTGTCGAAATAAATTGTAAACTAAAAAAAACTTCATTAAAATATTGTTAACTTCATTCATGTTTTGAAATTCTAAGATAAGATTCACTAATAGATTATCAAGTATACAATAGATGGCAACAGAGAAATGTACAAATTATACATGACGTCACAAGTGTCAAATATAACAAGAAAAATTTCCTCACATTAGTTGACATATTTTCTAGGATTAAATAAAAAAGTGTTAAAACAGAAAATAAAGAACACATAAAATTGCACTTATTTTAATGTAAGATAAACACTTTATTCTAAAATTATCACAACTATTAATAATTTTGAAGGACACAAAAACTGAATTGACACATGTGACGTCAGACTTGTACTAATATCTATTTGATATTCGATATCTATGGCTCTGTTGTAATATTTCTCACCCGCCCTATCCCCCCTTAAAGGTAATAAAATAATAATAATAGTTGAGCTTTGAGATTATCAATAAATTGGGCTTTTTACAAAAATGTATCCGAATCTTGCAATCAACTGCAGAAAAAACTTTATTAAAAAAAAAAATCTTTGAGGATGGGAATTGAGAAAAAAATGGTAGGTAAAAATAGATATACTAAAATTACGTAATACCGGTGACATTATCTGCGTATGACGCATCTAGCATATGCTCCTGAAGACTATGCCTGTCTCCAGAAATACTCGTGTAATCACTCATCATGCTCACTGAATCACTTGCTAAAATAATATGAACAAAACTAAATAAATAAATAAATAAATAAATGGGACGGGACAAGAAAAAAGGGAAAATTGAAGAAAAAAAATCATTAAAAATCATACAGAGTGACCCATAAAACAGTGGAATAGGAGTAAGACATTTAAACAATCTGGTATTTAATGTGTTTTTTGGTTATTTACAAAATAGTTGCTTGAGGATCAACAAGTCAACAATGGCAGTGTTTTATGTTCATCGGACTGATAAAAGCTGGACTGTAAGCGTAATTTCAAGTGACCCTCCATGCAAAAATGGCAATGTCTGATTCACAACGGTAGCTTTGACACCATAATCTGATAAATACGGAATATATAAAAAAGTAAGTGTTAAAACCGGAAAATTCCTAAATGTTTTCCGGCAGTGAAAATGTGCAAGTCACTTCTGTAGAGGATCCATAATTGAAAACATATCTTATTTATACTTGATCAGATAAAGCTTTAAGAGTACCATTGTGCATCGGACAATGCCATCTTAGCAATGAGTGTCATTTCCCAATTATAACTTTTGTATGGGTACTTTTACTTCAATCATGCATGCAGCATTGTATAAAGCTAGCTGAGCTAATTAAGCATAATACAAATTTAAAAAAATGAGAAAGTGATTAACTTTACACAAATCAAATAATAAATAAAAAAGCTGAGAGAAAGACAACATGGTGTCAGCTGTCTTTTCTATTAAAAATATTTCCCTACCGGCTTGAAAAACACCAGCCGAGTTTCTAGCGGAGTTATCAGAAAACCTATAATAAATAATATAATTTAATTAAAACTAGCTGAAGTGCCCGGCGTTGCCCGTGGAATTTAAAAAAAATTATATACAAAATTTCGCATTAAAGAAAAAAAAAACCTCTGATACCCCAAGAGTACCCATGGGTTTCCTAAAAAAAATTTTAGCCAATTTGGTCCAGCCGTTTAGCCAGCCATAGCTATCATATATTTATAAATGAGCAAAGAGCTTTATTATATAGATATATATAATATATAATTAGGGATCTACAAAAAGCTGAAAGAATAAAAAGAAGAATTTAACTTATATTAGAATGTTTTGTCGATATGTCTTTATTTGAAAACCATGTGAAAATAATTTTCAAAATGGGAAACTTGAAGACTTGGTTTACTCATATCAAATCAAATAAGACTTGTAAGGATACCCTACTTCCACGTACAATTCCGATAAGACTTTACAAAATCAAAGAAGAAACCAAGCGGCCTTTTAACTTGCAAAAGAAAGAGAGCACCATTTAATTTAAAAGAATTAGTTTTCCTTAAATGCCCACCTTGTAAGTTATATTTTGTGTAAAAAATGGTACGAAATTTTCTCGTTATCGAGAAGGTTCAATTGCCTTTTTAGATTTAATTTTGTCCCGAGCTTTAGCGAGGGACAAAATATAATCTAAAAAGCGAGAACCTTCAAGATATTGAGAAAATTTAAGTCCAAAAACTTTATAGCACGTCGTGCCAAAATAATAGTGTTATAGGTAATTTTATGAAAATTTGTGTACTTGTCTTATTTCAATGTCTATTTCTAGACCAAATAAGCTTTGAAAAAAAAGCAGAATTCTAGATATAAAGTTAATTTCAATTTTATTTTCATTTCAATTGAAAATTTTTTTTTTGGAAATATCCTTAATTGTTTTAGAGAAAATCCGGGAACCAATCAAAACTTGTACAGATAATTTAACTTTATAGCACGATGATTACTTTATAGCACGTTCATTATGAAATTCACGATGAAGTGAAGAAGAATGATAAAGTACACAATAGTTTCATAAAAAAAAATATTCTAAAGCTGACCCGTCGTTCTGTCTGAGCTCTGCTTCCTCTAGTGCCGCGGCATCCTGAACTGTCATGAGCAAACATCCCAACAACATCTGTGTATTCACGGCCTCAACCTCGACCTAAATACAGACAAGTAGAGGTTAGAGTAGAGGTCAAAGTAGAGGTCAGATTAAACAAATTGTCGAATTATGATAAGTAATACTAGCCATAATAATAACTTCTTCTCTAGTGCAACTGTCCCAATAAGGAAAAAGATTAAATCTTTGTGCCTAGTACCTATTTCTCGCTATTCATTAATTATGACCTCGAAATTAATAGTTTGCGAGAGGTAATTGAACTCTTGCACAGTTATGGCTAGTTTAGCTACTAATATAGTACAATCTCAGCCAGCAGTAGTCTGAGTAGTCTATACGTGCCTAGAGGTCCGAAATGTTGTATTGTGAATATCAGGATCAATCAAACAGATTAATTTAATTCCTCTTAAATATACCGTGGTTGTCATAATCTTTAATTGAGGGATCAGACATTTATATTAATCTTAAGCAGATCTACGATTTGATTTAATTCCTCTTCAATATACCGTGGTTGTCATAACCTGCAGGGACAACGATAATAAAATATAGTGATCAAGTATTGATACTTAAATTCAAAATTGCCTATATTGGATATCGAGATCAGGTGTTTTAGGAATAACAATATCGACACAAAATTTCCGATCTTAGTTAAACTCATTCTTTGTATTCATTAATTCTGAATGCATTATAATCAACATGCAGAATGATGAAGATTAAAAAATCTAAGAATCGTTTGGCTTTTCTACAGGAAAGAAATCTGTCAAGGACCCCGATATGGACCCCCCAGACCACCGTCAGGTGAGAGTGCCATAACTCAAGATACCCCCTACCCGTTCCATCCCCCCCCTCCCCCCAACTTTTCCCAGTCGGGGGAGAAGGGGTGATACTATTAAAACGAGCATTTGCAATTTTTAAATTGTTTGATTTCTCTGTTACCTGAAGGGCGTTAATTAGAAGGTTGACCAGCCTAGGTTTGAGCTGGTTAAAGTTGTTCACCGCTGGTCTCTCTCCAATTGGCAATAACTCCTTAAACAAAGATTTTCGAACCAGCTGCTCGGCATTGCCCGTGGAATTTTAAAATCACTTAAAAATAAAAATTTGACAGTTAAAAAAAATTGAATTTTGAAAAAATAAATTTGATATTTTTAGCCTCTTTTATTCCTCATAAACTTTCAGCCAAATTTGGTCCAGCCGTTTGGCCAGCTGTAGCTAACATATAAATATACATTATATAATATAAATGTATTACATTTATATAAGAGCAAAAAGCTTTATTATAAAGAAGATTGATTTGTAATAATGGAAAAATTTATTAAATCATGATAAATAAGTATAAAATTCCTATATTTTTCTAAATGCTAACAAACACTTACCAACCATCATTCCGTAGAAGTCAGAATTAAAGAATTTTATTATATTTGATTTCCCAATTTAAAATCGTAAATAATGACTAAGTTATACTTAATTTATTCTATAATTCAATTGTAATTATTAACTTAAAAAGGCCTTATGGAATAATTTCATTTTGCATTTGAGAGAACCATGCTCGATTCACAACCGTACCCTTTACGCCTTTCTCTTATAGGTTCGAAAAGTGTTAAATCCTCTCAATTTCTTCATAATTCTGTGTAGCAAAAAATCCGCAACTCACTTTTGTGGTAAATCACTAATTGAAAAAGATACAATTTTTTTAAAGAAAAGTCATGAATATCTTTAAAGGTGTCGTTATGGAATGCAACTCTAATTGAAGGTTCACTGTAAATTACATCCGTAGGCCCTTAAACTCATACCTTGATCTGCATGTTAGCGAAGTGAAGAGGTAGAGTGAGCATGGATTGCAGTAAATGTATCGCTGCTCGACGCAGGTCAGCTTTGTTAACATAGCTGGCGGTTAGTTTTACCTTAATCAAAGCATGTTATAAACAGTGTTAATAGCTGATCAAAAAGATAACATACTACACACTTTCAAAAATACTGTAGAATTGAAATTTTATGAACAAGAGAGAATTAGTTTAATTAGGTCTGTTTTGTTGAACTACGTCTACATAGTGCCGGCTGACTCAGCTTGAGCCCATTTTATGGTTCAATTTAGTACCTACTCCACTGGAAAAGTAGTTTAACTAGGCATAAATACTACCTAATGAAACTACTTCTCTCAATTGATCAATGGCAATATCAGATTAATTACCTCCTTTTCTGGGAGAACAGCCTCTAGAGCAGAGACAATGCTTGGAGCGAGGACGTTTACTCCATCCAGATCTATTCTCAGCAGATTACTGGAGTTCAGGAGAATACTTGCCAAACTCTCCGATACAACCTGATCAATCAATCAATCAATCAATCCAGATCTATCCTCAGTAGATTACTGGAGTTCAGGAGAATACTTGCCAAACTCTCCGATACAACCTGATCAATCAATCAATCAATCAATCAATTCAGAGCTATCCTCAGTAGATTACTGGAGTTCAGGAGAATACGTGCCAAACTCTCCGATACAACCTGATCAATCAATCAATCAATCAAACAATCCATCAATCAATCAATGAATTAATCAATGAAAGAATGAATGAATCAATCAATCAATCAATCAATCAATCAATGAAAAATCAATCAATCATATCTATTCTCCGTAGATAACTAGAGTTCAAGAGAACACTTTCCAAACTCTCAGATACAACCTTACTTATCGATTAATTAATCAATCAATGAATTAATGAACCTTTCCATGTCCTACTATGAGACCGTTCTGTACTGCTAAGTAGAACCTAGCAAGGTAGACGGGTAGGATCCCCCCCCCCCACAATTCCTTATACACCATCCTTATCATGCCCTACTGTGAGACCGTTCTGTATTGCTAGGTAGAACCTAGCAATGTAAACGGGTTTATCGATTAATTAACCAATCAATGTTTTCACCAACCTTATCATGTCCTACTGTGAGACCGTTCTGTACTGCTAGGTAGAACCTAGCAAGGTAGACGGGTAGGATCTCTTCTCCAGTTCTCTTAGAGCAAAGCACACGACACAGCGCACCCAGAGCTTCAGCTCGTCCAGACTCAAACCTTCATAAAAATTTTATCATTAAATTTTTCCAGAATTTCTTCGGCTGGAGCAATGCAGGGAGTGAGGGATGAAGTTCGTAGATTTAAAAGGTATAATTAAAAGAACTTTCCGATGTATCTTCTTAAAATCTGTATTAAAATTCTTTTTTTAGTTTTGCAATATGAATCTCTAAATAAATTCTTGAAACATTTTGGGATATGAAGAATTACTCACCCCAATTACAACATGAAATGACTCTAATATTTTAGAATAAATTCACAAATAAAACAACAGATTTTTTCTACATTTTTCAAAAATAACAAATAAGAATCCTTATGCATTATAAAAACAAGTTTATATTGACTTTTTTAATCCGTTTTATTTTGTTCATACTTGTCTGGAGTTAGTCCTGGTGGTAGGTCTACAGGTTCAGAAGTCATTGTTGTGTTTCCTTTTGATAAACTAGAGGGCCGAGAACTACCAGTCTAAACAGTAATTCATTTTTTTAAAGGGACTGTCCATGTCATTAGAGTCTAATGCCCGATTCACACCGGTACCCTCACGTTTGTCTAAGAAAACTGACAGAAATATTATTGTTTTTCTCTCTTACAATTGATCATTTTCCATTTTACATAATTATTAATTTAGATGACTTACGGAATTATGTAGAATAAACAAGGAAGAAATGAACCAATAATAATAATATCTCCCTTATTTCTTTTCAGATAAATCCTTTAAGGTTAAAATTGTGAATCGAGGATAGAACACTTTCATAAGAATGCTAATTATTCATTCAGTGATTTCCTTCCTCACAAAAGTCATCATTAACAAGATGTGAAGATTTATTTTACCTGCTCCTTTTTAGATCCTCCAGTCTTAGCAGCATCAGTTCCAATAAAAGCCGCCTTAAAAATTTAACTTTTCGTCTCTTTTATATAACACATTAAGATCAACTGAAGTAAAATCATTTTCTGTAATTGTACGGGAATTAAATTTAAGAACTATTTTTCAAAACATAACAATTTGGGCAAACTCCTGCTGCTTTTGCGTTGTTTTAAGAATAAAAACGCAAAAAATAGCTCATTATGTACTTTTAGACATAAAAAAGTATTTAAAAAGAGGATCCTATGCACTGACCTCAAAGAGCCATAGACCAAATAGATGAAGAATAGAGTTGCAGGAGGGTCGGAGAGGTGAGGGAGTTAAATTATGCTGATCAGATAGTGTACCTTAAAAGGTTTTGCAATCAATCAATCAATCACAGATTGAATTTTGTCAATTAATCAATCAAACAATGAATCAGTTTGTCAATCAAACCTGTCAATCTAATCAGTCAACAAATCGATTAACCAGTCAATCAAATCAATCAACCAATCAATTAACCAATTAATCACTCAACCATTCGATTAACCAATCGATTAACCAATCAATCAATCAATCAGTCAGTCAGTCAAATTAGTAAACTAAAAAATCGATAAATCTATCATCCAATAAATCAATCAATCGTAGCAAAACTAAAATAATATTTATCCATAACCAGTTGTTCAAAAATCTTTGAATAATTACTAAAACTAATAAAAAAACAAACATCAAAATAATCAACCAAATTGATCAAATAAATATATTGTTACTAAAAATGTTTTCTAAATTCTTAAACAAAAGGGTTATAATTAAATACCTGTTACAGCGGCCAATACTGCCGTTGAATTCACGATGCTTTGTGTAGACACGTTCATACTAGAACAAGAAAGGTTATCAGAAAGGTTTGTAAAAAAAATTCGAGATTTTTCTTCTGTCGTTGGGCATGCCGGATTCACACCGGCACCCTTTCACCCTTTTTCTGATCAAATAAAGTAGCTTGAAAAGATTGTAATTTTGACAAGTGGCACCATTGTGAATTGGACAAGTAGTATCACTTGAAATTACGTATTCAGTCCCTTTATCTACCTTGTAGATGATGTAGTTGATGGTGCAGCTGATGTAGCTGAGCTAGATCTACTAATTGACATAATCTGACCGTTTATCTACCTTGTAGATGATGTAGTTGATACTGCAGCTGATGTAGCTGATCTAGATCTACTCATTGACATAATCTGACCCTTTATCTACCTTGTAGATGATGTAGTTGATACTGCAGCTGATGTAGCTGAGCTAGATCTACTCATAGACATAATCTGACCAGCCCGTGGTAATCCTACAATATATTAGAGGTTTAATATCAATTATTTGTTTCTCAAAGTTGTGCGAAATTATTTTTCCAGAATTGAATAAACTTTTATTTACTATTTCTCATACATACGCCACTCTGCCCCCAAGTCCCCCATTATTTCAAAATTGTTTTCTGTTTAAGTTTTTTTTTAAACCTTGACAATGGGGTTAATCTAATTCAGTCAGTGTGACTAAGCGCTATCTCAACCAAAAGTTTAGCCTCTTAAAAACCAATTCAAATAAGTGTTGATCTTAAGGGAACCAACGTGGAACCACCCACAGTAAAAAATAATAATTAACTAATTAACTAATCTACGTAATTTCATTATTAAAATAGATATGATAATGATACAATAAATACTAATACTAATTCATTAATTTTTAATTACTAGTTTAAAGCATGCAAAAAAAACAAATTTAATAACCCATGCCAATAATTAAACTAAAAACTAAAATTTCATGCAAATAAATTCTGATAAAAAAAATAACAAAAAACTTAACTTTACATTATTAAAACAATTCTACGCAAATAATGCAAAATGAGGATGAGAGGGATAAAAGCTGTCAGGTTTCTATTCTCCAAACCTTCAAGATTCGGAAGCGCGTTTCCATCCACAGAGATTGCCCGGCCCAAGGCCGTCTTTTCCACCACAGAGTCTTTGGCCGTAGGTCGACCAATCACACTCTGAGACTTTCCCACGTCACTTCGCTCACGCATTATCGGCGTCTTTATGATCGAGTCCTTGAGCGATCTATTCTGCGCGCGCGATGGAATACTTGACATATGAGAATGCGCTTGTGCCGCCAATCCTATGTGCAATTAATTCATACTTATATAATAATATTACAACTGCTAAATAGCTAAATACAATATACAACAAGTTAGGGGCTCCGGTTGCTTATTTATAATCTAAAAAAATGTCAAATACAAAAAGAGTTAAAATGTGTGCTATGAAATACGTCAAGAGTATAAAAAAAGGACCTTCACAGAGGCTGTCGACTATTTTCAAGTACTACTCCAGATGAGATTAACAACAATACCCTTTAAACCCTCGTCTCACCAAAAATGATTGATTTCCTGTAACAAACATATTGCAGTCCTCTGTAAATAGGAACTTCCGGACTAATGCATCAGACGAGGGAAAAAATTGTCAGCACGTATCTCTTGTAAGGGTGAAAAACGACGATATCTGCTTCATTGTTGCTCAGATATGTTTTGAAAAGGGTACCGTTGTGAATTAGACTTGTATCGTATTAGATGGAGGGTTTCTTGAAATTATTTCGGCAGTCCCTTTCAGGTAGTATTCAACAACAGACATGTATTTGACGTGCACAGCGATCTATTCCTCGGACAGTTCTTGGTGAAACCAAAGTTTATTTCAGGATTCAAAGCAATGAACGTCAATAAAGCTACAAGAATAATCAAATTATCAGCATTAAGTACCAAGAATAATATTTTTTCGGGATGCAGGGGGAGTAGGAATGAGAGGATTGTTAAGCAGAGCGGAGACAGGTTCAGGTTCAGGGATATCCTGATCCAGGTGCAGGCTATTGTACACACCTAGAGAATACACCAGCTCGGGTTTTTAATTTTAATCCTATTCGGAGTTCAATCATGTATATATTCATCTTAAATATAATCCTCACAATTATAATTAATTAGTTCCCATAACCACTCATGCATAGAAGATTACTAAAAAATTTTAAATATCTTAGTTCACAGAACCATTTGTTTATAAATTCTTAAAATACTAATTTATAATCGGAAATTGAAATGGTTCTTTTTTACAAAATTAATCTTATAAATGTAAAAATTGCTTTCACCATCTCACAAAGCTAGAGGTCAGAATTAATATATATTAAGAAGTAGTTGAACTATCAGTATCTAGTTGAACTATTTCTTTTAATTATTTGCAACCCCAGCTCAACCATATACCCTACCAACCCATCTACCTAGATATGCATCTACTATAGCGGAGACCCCCTTCATGGCCCTGAGGAAGATTGTGGGAAGAGAGACCAGACAGGGGTGGTAGGTTGGATCTATCACACCGAAGGATTTCAGCGCGTACTCTTTGAACTGCTGAGTGTCGCTGACAGAAACCGGTTTTGATAGTTCCACAGGGTTTCCCAGACTATAAGAAAATTATTAAATAAAATCATTATTTTATTTGGTAAAGTGGGGATTCGACACTTTATGGCACTAAATATACAAAGACCATGTTGTCATTGACCTCAACTTGAACCTCTATAAAACTCCACAGGGTTTACGTGACTTGAAGATCATTAAATTAAATTATTATTAAATTATTTAAGAAGATTATTAAATAAAACTATGATTTGACTTGGAAAATCTTTTTTGAGCAAACTTTTCCGAATCATATTTAAAAATATTTTTTTAACAAAAAATATAATTTATGTATTTTACCAGTTAAGGAATCTATACCAGGACTGTGCTACACATTCATGGGTCATCTCAGTCGGAACCAAATCCATATCTTCCTGTTATAAATGAAACTATGGTATAAATCATACGTTTATGAAAGCGACATTTGTTCTCAAAATCCACCTTTTTGGCAAGTAGTTAATTCGATTGTTTACACTTGGGGTCGCTTTTTGAAAATAAAATCGCTTCCATATATCTTTATCTAAATATATTCACAAGCAAAACATTATATTTTCAGTCCATAACTATATTTAAATGCATCATGATACTGCATTCGTTTCTTGAAAAAATGGATCTGAATCAATTATTTTTTTTCCTGAAGGAAATTTTGTTTGTTTTTCCGTTAGCTTTTATGCCGGTAGTACAACGCTAATTCTGAACAAAGACTATTTCGCATTCGTCTTTTAATTCCCGTATTTATTGGGACACCCCCCTGGATCAAAAAAAGATTTTTATAAATCGTAAAAAAACTTACCTTAGGAATATTTAGAACCGGGAACCTTGGACCATATAGGAACGCGATCAAGCGAGACGTTAAGGTTAGATTGACACGGTTCCATTGCGTCACAAGTCCTAGAATAAAATCAATCAATCAATCTATCGAACATTTAGCCCAGATTAACTTGTTTTCTTTGAAAAAAAAAGATAAAATGAGAATAAAAGCGAATAAAATAACCCAACATTTTAAAATAAAACTAAAAAATTCACTTTTTGTTCATTGGAAAATGAAAATTCTTTTCATTTGACTCTCCCAAAAAAAGCGATTAACTTTTTTTCATTTCTGGGTAGGGAATTAGCTTGAGAACCAAGCGTTGCCTGGAAATCAACGAAAATAAAAAAGTCAAGAAGATTTTAACCCAAGCTAATAACATTCCCGCGGATCTACCATGTTTAACAATTATAATTTGAGGCAAATCGGTCCAGGGATTCATCAGTTATGATCAGACATACAAACAAACAGACAAATAGAGATTACAACTTTATATATGGGTCATTCTTTATATTTGAACTCAGCCAGTATTTGGAAATCATGGTAGTCAATGTCATGGATTTATTTATATTTTGCACACAGTAACATATTATAAGAAGATTAAATCCAAAATTTCAGCCTTCAGGAGGTAGCTGAATTGATAAAGAATGACCCATATATATTATACTAGCTGAAGTACCCGGTGTTGCCCGTAAAATTTTTTTTCATCGAATTTTGAAGAAAATATTATTTTTCAAGAAAAAAATTGGAACTTTTTAAGCTTTTGTCACCCCTGGGTTTCCTCAAAAATATTCAGCCCATTCGGTCCAGCCGTTTGGCCAGCTATAGCTGACATATATATATATATGAGCGAAGAGCTTTAGTATATTATAAAGATGATAGATCTTCTACCTGCTCTGTGTCTCCAGTTCATGCACATCTCCCTTAGTGTTTTCCAGAGGGTGGGACCAGGGAATGATTTAACGCAGGCGATTAACCAAATCTCAAATAATACGCCCAGCACACGTTCACACAGCTGATCGCCAATATCATCTGTAAAATATAATTTCATTAAAAGGACTGTATTCGTAATTATAAGTGACCTTTCATTAAAAAAAGGTGTCAAGCTCAATTCACAACGGTACTTTCGAAATCATAAAAGGATATTGTAATTTTTCTGCTCAAAGTGTTTAATTCGGGAAATTTCTTCGCTGTTTTTGAAGCTAGAAATGCACAAGTCACTCTTGCAAAGAAATCATAAATTAAAATGAACAGTTTTAAAAACAAAAACATAGATATACATTTTTTAATTGTTTAATAGATTACTCAGATAGGTAAATTATTTTTTTTTGTGTCTTCATCCATTTTTCAGTAATACTTATTCACTAATGAATTGGCAGCCAATCAACCTACCCTGGTTAGGCGGGTCTAGGCGTTTAGAGATAATTTCCAAGAGAACGATTTTGCCCCCCCCCCCCTCCATCCCCTTCCAAACAATTCCGCGTTACCTTTGACAGCAGGGGGAGAAAGAAGTGCATCGTTGATTGCTAGAAGGAAGGAGAGAAGAGCATCCCAAGTACCCCGCTCCATTATCTTTACAATTTTATTAGAATACAATAAGAATTTGGAGATGAATAGGGTTTGCTCACAATTAAGGGCGACTTAAGCTGGTGGGAACTTTTTTAAAGCTAATAATTAGTTAATGGCATATAATACCTGGGATTGATGAGCTAGCTCTTGAACTCTTCTGAGTACTCTATGACAGACTACAGCTTGTCTATGAATCGTATCCTGGGCTGAAATATTATCAAACATTTTATTATCTGTCAGTATGAAAATTTCGATAAACTTTTACTGAAGTTATCAAGATTTATTTTTAAGTGACCTTTCAGTGGCATGTCCGATGCACAGTAGTACCCTTTAAGGACGCGCAAATCTTTGTTTACTTATATGAAACATAATTTTTTTTGGTGGTTTCGTTGTCAAAGTGACTAGCATATTTATGCAGCAGAGACAATAATGGAAATTGTTATAATTTTTGAATTTTCAAGATAGAAATAAACGACAACTTAATTATTTCTGTAATAACCGTTCTAAGGGTGCCAATGTGAATCAGACATACCACTACAGAAATGGAGGGTCAGTTAAAATTACGAAATTTATTTGAATTAGTTTTTATGGGGATCCGGGATAAACCAAATTTTATTGGAAAAATTAGAAAATTTTCCCTGTTTAATATCGAATATCAAGCAGATTTTTTAACCAAATTAAATCAAATCAAACTTTTAAGGTCACCTTAAAAAGTGTGTGCATCATATGCATTCTAAAATTCCCAGCTATGCAGAGGTAAATTATGTCCATAATAAAGTTTAAAAACAAAAATGATATTCTGACAAAAATTCATGGTAGAATACCAAATTTTTGCTTAGGTTACTATTAACATCTAATACCAGTTATAATATCCATGCATTTCACTACAAACTTAAATCTATTATGTACAATAATGAAAAAAATGTAAGAACTTTATCTTAGCGTTCATGCGATACAACGTTAAGATTAATTTGACAAGAAAGAAAAGAAAATAACCACGAAGATTTTTGACAAAAAAAAGAAAGAATAAAATCAAAATTGAAGAAAAATTTTGGTTTATCAACTAGAATTAAAGGGAAACTTATGAATATGAACCAGTGTTAAGATAAATGTTTGGAATATGAACCAGTATTTAAGATAAATGTTTGGAATATGAACCAGTATTTAAGATAAATGTTTGGAATATGAACCAGTGTTAAAGGTAAATGTTTGGAATATGAACCAGTGTTAAAGGTAAATGTTTGGAATATGAACCAGTGTTAAAGGTAAATGTTTGGAATATTAACCAGTGTTAAAGGTAAATGTTTGGAATATGAACCAGTATTTAAGGTAAATGTTTGGAATATGAACCAGTATTTAAGGTAAATGTTTGGAATATAAACCAGTATTTAAATATAAATAATAGGAATGAAAAGGAGAATTAAAGCGAGAAAATAAAGAAAGAAAAAATCCAGGTCAGCACTTTGATAAGTTTTCATTGTTCATGCAACAATTTACTAATTTTTTGATTTGTGTTTGGAAATCGAAATTAAACAAAAACGACAACTTAGTTTTTCTAGCAAAAAATAAAGAGGAAATTAAGACAAAAACTACCAATTTTTGGGTTGAATATTTAAGAGAAAAATATCAAAATCGATTTCCAACTCTTTTTGAAGAATCTACAATCTACATAATTGAACCACAGGACCAGAAAATATGTTTTTTAATCTTTTTGTGAAAAAGAACTTTCCTAAAACTTAAATTTTTTTAGATCCGTTTTTCTCAGCAACCTGAGATCGGAACTTTTGGTGTTGAGTATTGTTAATCTTGAAAGATTGATCTCGATATCCAAAATGGGAACTTTAAATCCCGTAATTAAAGTTAATCCTGCACAGGACCAGGGGTATTTTAGTTCCAAAATTAAGTTGAGAAATAAATGCAGCAAATAATGTCAAAAGCATAGACGACGTTCAAGTCGTCTTACTACTGTCATGTTTCGTGGGTCCAAGTTAAAAACTTTTGAATATTTGATCTAGTCCTGCGAGTCTAGCTACGTAATTTACCTAAATCCTGATAAAGGAACGACGTAGCTGGAAAACGGGGTTTATGTTAGTAATCAATCAATCAATCTACTTTTAAAAAATTTTAAAATGCAAGATTTGTTCAAGCTGACGCAATGACATGTTCAATTTAACAATAATAAAAAATCAAGGAATAAAAAATTCTAAAAAAAATATTAGCTTTGTTCAGAAAGGCAACATTTAAAAATTGTTATATCAAAAAAAAAATTGCATTAATTATTTAAAAAGAGCAGCAAAATATATACAAACAAAGCTGAAACCAAGGGCGTACATAGAAATAAATCTAGGGGGGATTCAAATATACGTTTTTTTGCAAAATTTGTAAATTCAAAACATTTGGCTTCTTGGATACTTTGAAGGTACACAGTTCATTTATCTTGCAAGTACTACTTTATCTCTCCCTCAAACAAAAACTGCAAACTAATTTTTTTATGCTGTTCACTCCTTGAAAGTGTTATAGCCCCGAGTTTAGGGGGGGGGGGGAGGTAGCGTTACCCGTCCTTTACAAGTCTAGGGGGCACTGCCCCCTTGCCCCCCCCTGTGTTCGCCCTTGGCTGCAACTTAAACCCTTGATTTAATAATAGTTTTCAAACCGTCACCATTTAGAATAAAGCGAAAGCTGGTTTACTATTTCGAATTTAAAGACTCCCTCTCACTCTTTTAGGTTGAAGGGTTTTATTAAGAGTGCTCATACAAATTTTAGGACTCGGTACATTTTTAAACTCAATTGGTACCAACTAGGGATGGGCAATGACTTTGTTCGTTTTTGTTTAACTTTTAAGCAGTGCTCTTAAGATCCGGATCCGTAAGATTTTGGCTTCCTGGATCCGAATCCGGATCCGCAAAAATATGCGGATCCACAGATCCGGATCCAAGGGGTAAAATATCAACTGCAACAAAAAAAAACTTTTTTACTCCAAAAACCCAAATCTGAACTTTTGAAAAAAGAGCGATTATAAAAACTCATTTCTGAATGGTTCATCAAGTTTTTGGATAAAAATAAGCGAAAAAAAATAAAACAAAAAATTTGAAATTTTTTTTTTTTTTAATTCAGTACACCTTAAATTAATGACCTGGATCCGGATCCATTTTTTTTCCAGTGCGGATCCAGGATCCGGATCCGGGTCCGCATCAAAATGAAATGGATCTTAAGCACTGCTTTTAAGGTGTTTAAACTCATATTTAAGGTCCCACTACAATCTAAAGAATTTTACGTAAAATTGTGCATTGAAAACATTTGCTTTTTAAATGTTTACCCTGTAAGATGAGATGTACATTATGCAACAACCAATCCAAACTATCGTCCCCCTGATAACATCTCTTCGGGTCAAACTATCGTCCCCCCCCCCTGATAACATCTCTTCGGGTCAAAATTTTACTTGGTTCAATAAACGAAAACTTTTACTTAATACAGTTTTGAAGTGTTGGGGCTTCCACACGTTGAAAAGAATTTGTGTGGTACAAAAACCCATTATAATTTTTTTTTAACTAACAAAGTTCTTGAAGAGGAAATGCTAACCAGAGCCCGCGACTTAAAAACTGCGGCTCGAGCCGTAATTCCTGAAACCCGACATTAAGACCCAATCTTCAGCCCAACTCTGACGACAGCTTGTGTCACGTGATTGACAGCTGCAAGATCTTCGGCTCGACAAAAGGAGTTAGGCCCAGTGAAAATAAAACCGACCTTGGTTGGTTTTAGTTGAGAATAAGGCCCAATGTTGAGTATTGATCTCATAAAAACTCGGAATGCGTCAATGTCTACCATGAAAATCCGCCAAATAGAATATCAAATAAGATGCAGCTTGAATCCGAAAGCTTGAGCCGTAAATAAGAACCAACGACAGCTTAGACCTGGGCCGTATTTTCCCGAATTTTTAAAAATCGCGGGCACAGAGGACGAAGAGGGGTTGAGCTTCTGTTCCCCCCCTCACGCATAGTTTCGCCTTCGATGGTACTTATTAAAATGAGTCTGGTATTCTCGAGCATCTAATTTGCGTCAACCAAGGGTCATGTGGTATTCGGCAGTTTTGCTGATTTTTTTATCAATATTTCTGAGCCCGAACCGTAATCTTTGTCTTACAAATCAAAATTAAAATTTAAGAATGAGAGAGAGCGCTTCTAAATTCGAAATTAAAGAGAGAGAATTTTGAAGGATAGAATCAAGTGCATCCTACTCTTCACCTGTATTTCGACCCTTTGCATTTTTGTCAGCTATTGTGTTGAGTAAGTGCTCTTCTAGATTATACTATGTTAGTTTTAACAGTTTCCAGGGGTATATATTTTCATTATTTTACCCCCCAGGAAAATTATTGTAAGTACTTTAAAGTCAGGTTTTTTTCATACAAATTGTTAAACTTTTGAGAGATAAAAAAACATTAAAAAAAGGAAAGCATTTTGATCCCTTAAATATTAAAAAAATAACTTTTATTAAACTTTTTCCTCCAGAAGGAAGGGGATTAAAGAAAAATATATCAGAGGGGGGAGGGGGGTTTGGAAAATATATACTCCTGACAGGTTGTGCATTGATATTAGTTATAAACTTTAGCCGGATTCATTACCTTCTCCTTTCCTAGGAATAAACAGATGGTTTAACTGTGTGATTATCTTCTGAGCATAAAAGTTTGGGTCTTCTTGAACTGGTCTGAAACATACAATACAAGGATTAAAACGTTTGGGGACTCTTGAAGCAGTCTAAAACATTGCAATTGAAGGATTGAGAATTAAGGCTTGAACCTGTCTAACACAATGCAATAAAAGGCTTAAGAAGTTTGGGTCTTCTTGAACCGGTCCAAAACATTGCAAAATAAGGATTAAGTAGTTTGGGTCCTCTTGAACCGGTCTACAACATATCAGTGTAAGGATTTAGAAGTTAGGATTATATGAACCAGTCTAATAGATTGCAATATAAGTAAAAAGAAGTTTGAAAGATGCGTCTTTAACAGATGACAACTACATCAAGAGTTTAAATTAGATTTTTGAATTCAATTATTATTAAAAACACAGTAATGGGGCTAAAACGTTTCATTATCATTACTTTACTAAAATTGGTGATTCTCTTTCTGGTTTCTTGCCGGTTCAATTTAAAAGGAAGTGGCTCAACAAAGCATAAATAGTTGGACTACATCTTGCTTATCATTAAATCTAGTTCCTAATTGAAAACCTACTTCGGAACACAGACTTTAGGGTTGGGGAGTAGAGCAGAGAGCCATTCACAGTAGATATTAACACTGTCGCGGATGACCTCATGTTCAGTTAGAGGCAGGCAGAGGCCATGACAGATGACCTCCATGCACCAGTTCACTTCCTAAAATAAAAAAAATGAAAATTATTTCTTGTTTTCACATGTTAAAATATATTTCAAATTAACTTAAAGGGAGTGTTCGCGAAAAATGAAAGGGGGTTTAGGCTTAATGCGATAAAAAAGCGCTTTTGTTAAAGACGTCTCATACCTTATAACTTCGCGTTCATACAAATTGAGAAAATTGCAATATACGACTTTGACCGTAAAAAATCAATTTAATTTCAAACAAATCATTCAGATATTACAACCTATAGTCATCGATTATCTTTCGCCACATTTGTATATAGTTCATATTTTGTAATATTTTTGATTTCGTTTTTATAAAGATATTCCTCTGTCCCTAGATTTTCGAACATTCCTGGAAAATATGAAAATGTCGTATTCATTATCAATTCTCGAAACAGGAATAAAAGTAACTATCAGATCATAAAACATAGAAAAGATTATGAAATATCAACTAAATACGAATGCGTCGAAAAATCATCGATGATTATCGGTTGTAATAACTGAATGATTTGTTTGGAATTAAATTGATTTTTTTACGATCCGAGTAATATGTTGCAACTTTCTGCATTTGTATTGACGTTACGTTCTTCGGTATAGTCGGTTTTAACAATTTTCTCTTTATAGACGCAACAGATAGAAGTAAGATTAGCAGGGATCAATAGCGATTATTTTTCGCATTAAGCCTATACCCCCTTTCATTTTTCGCGAACATTCCCTTTAATCTGCAATCTAAATATCAAACGGCTGAACCTAATTGGCTTGATTTTTTTTAAGGTAACCAAGGATACCCTGGGGGTAACATCGGCTAAAAAATTAGATTTTTTTCACTCTACGGGCAACGTCGGGCGCTGCAGCTAGTCATTTCTAGAGTGATTTGAACTAAATATTTGAATCTGGGACAACAATTCTTAACCTTTAGAAAATTGTAATGTATTGAGTACAAAACTGACAAACAAATCCTTAAATTATGGAATATAACGTTGATTGTTTAAAGATTTCACTACAGTGATAACCAGAAAACTGTAGGATAGGAAGACGACATGACATGCAATTGATGTTGTTACAAAGCAAATAGGTATAAGTTATTAAGATACTTTTGAAGGAAAATGGGTCTGTTTACACTGCACAATTGCTGTCCTCAGGTTCATTGAACTATTTAAAGTCATAACATGAGTCTATTCCAGAGTTTTCTGGTTTTCACTGTAGTATAATCATTTTTACAGAAAGATTCTGTCTGGATGGAAATGCAATAGTTTGTTAGGACACCCAGTTAGTAAAAGATAAAAAATACAAAAAGCAGTTCATATATCTAACTATGAACTATAGAAAAAAGCTTCAAAATATTACAAGGAACCTGTTCAGTATTTAGTGTGGAGGGTTTTGCATCAGAGGGAACCGTTATTCCCAGATGGGAGGCAACAGTTTTAACAACAGCAGCAACAACCTAGATATAACAGTTTTAACAACAGCAGTAACAACCTAGATATAACAGTTTTAAAAACAGCAGCAACAACCTAGATATAACAGTTTTAACAGAAGCAGCAACAACCTAGATATAACAGTTTTAACAACAGCAGTAACAACTTAAGCAAAACATATTTGAAAGTAGCTGCAATATCCTAGATAAAGCAGCTTTTTGAATAGAAAACCGTCCCCCGGCCAACACAAAAAAAAATATTGAAAACGGAAAACATGGCTTCGCGAAGGGCAATAATGCAATATGTTCCCAAATTACTTTATTATTTCTGACTTTAATAAAAAGAGGTTTAACAAAAATTCCACTTGGAACTTGGCTAAATATTGACAAAATTCACTGACCCGTAAAAATTCCTGAGTACGCCTTTGGTTCTGATAACTTTTAGATAAAAAACCTGTTTTCCATCATCTTGGGGAAGTTTCGAAAGAACCGATTGCGTAGCAGATCCAAGGGACTGAAGCTGAATTGTGAGAGAGCTCCAGTCTGCGTACATATTGGCGTAATTTAAATAATCTGGTTCATACGCAGAACATATTTCTGAAATATTAAAAGCATTTTTAACAGGAATCATTAAAATAAACGAAGAGCCCAACTTTTTTGAGGCAACTCATAACACTCCCAGTCCCAGGAAAGGTTTGCTCAATGATCGAAATTGAAAAATTGTGCCTGAAAGGTAATGTTACATCGTCTAAACGCAGCATTCCCTCTACTGAACTCCTGACCTACTAACTTTCGGACTTACTGCAACATCGGATCTATGGCAACTGTTTACGTTCGTATTATTTTAGGGTTAGGTGATGCTAAACAATTTTTAGGCCGAGCGCTGCGGCTAGTACAGGCTATGGGGCCGAGTGCCGCGGCATAGGACAATCTAGGGGGCCGGGCGTTGTGACTACATGTCCATATGGCAACTGTAAACCCACGTGCTGTAGGTCGGATGTAAGTACATAGCGGAATTGGCGTCAATCGAAAAATACACCATCGACTGATATAAATGTCGATTGTCATGATTTTTAACAGAAAAATTCGCGAATAATCGGTTTATGATAAAAAGAAGTCAACTTCAAAATCAACAAATACCAAGTTAAAACCGTTTCTAGAATATCGGGGTGCGAAACGCCCTAAATTCCTAGCTGAAATAAATCTTATTTTGCAACATGTGCACGACGTTCAATTCTTACACCATGAGAAAAAGACTAGATTGTAATATTGTATGTAGCTAGCTACAAAACAAACTTGAATAAATAGTGGATAATTTCCTAGAAAACGATTTTTGGACCTGCCCCCCCCCCCCTCCTATCAATTTTGTACATGGATATTAAATGTAAGAGAATCTTAAATGTAAGACATATGGCCGCAGCGGTCGGCCCCCTAGCCTGTCCTAGCCGCAGCGCTCGGCCCATAAAGTGTCTTAACCTAAACTAACCCTAAATAATAATAAAAAAAAATAATAAATTCGCTGAAAATAAGTGGTCATGTACAAAATTGATAGGAGGAAGGGGGTCCAAAAATCGTTCCTTAGGACAGACCCAAATAGTGGAACTGGAAAAATATTTGCCCAATTAAGTAGAAGATACCAAGAGAATTAATTGCTTGTATTCCTGCAGTTTTCATGTTCACTTCCTAAGTGAAAGTGAAATCCTTGTTTACATCCGTTCCGCGGCATTATTTCAGTGAAGACGACTTTTTAAAAATTACTAATTGATAAGTTGATTGGGTAATGTTACATCGTCTATACGCAACATCCCCCCTACTGAACTTCTGACCTAATAACTTTCCGACCTACCGCAATATCGGACCTACGCCAGCTGTTTATTTTAGTATTATTTGAGAGTTAGGTTAGGTTAAGAGAATTTCTGGGCCGAGCGCTGCGGCTAGGACGTAGGCTAGGGGCCGAGCGCGCCACGGCTAGGACAGGCTAGGGGGCTCGGCGCTGCGGCCACAAGTCCATATAGCAGCTATAAAACCACGTGCTAGTAGGTCGGATGTGTTATAGTTTAGTGGATTTGGCGTAGGTCAGAAGTGGATCGTATGGCGGATCGGATATGTGTAGGTCGAAAAAATACACCACCGTTGATTGATGTTAAAAGAAATTTGTAGCTTTTCATTCCTTACTATATAGTATATATACATGATTTTTGTTATTTTTTTCTCAAGCTTTTTTTAAAAAAAATTCGGAGTGAAAATTATATATATGGTATAAGTCTGCAAAGTTTTGCTAAAAAATCGATTGTTTTTTAAAAAATATATTTGTAGATAATTTTTGTCTACTGGACAAAGTTCTTCCGGTCCCCGGACAATATGGAGAAACCATGCTACGGGGTTTCCCACGAAACTTGACAGTTGGTGAATAGTTTAGAATGTCTTTTTCCATAATTTGGTAAGTTGTGTGATCAAAGATCAATAAAAATATTATATTGGAGTCATATTATATATCCAAATTGATTTCAAAGTAAAATATAATTAAGCAAAAGATTTGTTTAACTAAAAATAGCTATTTATTAAATGTCATGTTTCCTGGGACACCCTGTATCTGATATTTTTTTTTCATTAATTTTAGTTTTTGATTGCTCAGTTGCTCAAAAATTGGTATCACTGATCCAAAGTTTTGGCTTTTAAAGGAAACTTAGACCAACAGCTTACTTTAAAAGAAAATTGATCAAAATCTGCTATTTTTTTCATCATTCATGAACGAATGAAAATGAAATGTGAAAATAAAAAAATTCTAAAAATCTGGCCGGGTAATCGTCCCATTTCGTCTTATACTCTAAGAAGTAATTGCAACAGCAAAAATGAGAAAAGAAGGTGTAAAATCTTTCCCTGGGAAATTTAGAAAGATCAAAATTTCTCTGTATGATAATTGAAGGACTGCAGTATGGTTTTGGTGAATTATATTGACGTACAAAGGGTGCTATGGAAACGCCTCAACACGAAATCGGACCTAAAAAAAACGAAAACCTCACCAAAATGAATATTTTTCAGGCATTTCCTATTTTTTATAAAATTATCGGAAATCCCTCAAATCTAATGGAATTTCTCGTTTTATTTTTTGATCCGTTTCCCCGATTTTTAGGTCGGATTCCGGTTTATACATGCCTTTTATTTTTGAGGGATTTCTCAATATTTTTGAGGGATTTCCCAATATTTTCAATCTGTTTCCTCATTTTTTAAGTCCATTTCCAGTTTTCAAAAAAAGTTTTGAATTCTCAATTTCTTGATTGTTTTCCTCTTTTTTTTGGGTCCGTTTCCTCGTTTTTTGGGTCCGTTTCCGTTTTCATAAAAAAGTTTTAACTTCTCAGTTTGTTGATCGGTTTCCTCTTTTTTTGAGTCCATTTCCTCATAAAAAAATGTATTCTGTCAAAAAAACTAAGTAATGAAATGCCAATTAAATCATTTATTTATATACAAATAGTATAATTCTATTATGGATCATGGAAAGACGAAATAAAGTCGAGTACAGCCAGGAAATGCATAGGACTGCAAAGGCCTACGAGGGACTATAAAGTACGAGAAATTTTACTAGAAAACGAATTTCAAAAAACTGCTATAGACTTCAGTAATAGGGGACTTTATATATACATACTACATAGTGAATATTACTAAGCCAGGGCAGGGACTCAGAGACACTAAGAAATACATGAAAGGACGCCAAAAGAACAGAAATGTTTTGGCGCTTCGCGCACACGTCTCAATAAATAACTCATCCAGATCCAGGTTAGGGTTTAACAACCTGTTGACAGTATAAATTTTAAAGCTGTTTGAAATATATTTTTTGTAAACAAGAACAAGCCATCAATATTATAATAATTTTGTATATTATTGAAGCACTGAGCCAACCCTTTTGCTCTTTTACTTCTAGATTTTATAATGTATGATTAATAATTATGGTAGAATAATATAGATTTTAACCTTTTAATTTTTTTCCTAATAAGGGTTTTATAAGGGGGGTGCAAAACAAAATATTTCGGCGCGCTGACGCGCGCAAAAACTGCACCCCGTTGGCTAAACCTCCACTACGCCCCTGAGACAAGTAAGTGAATGAATATTGTGCCGAAAAAGGTTGAAAAGTAACATTTTCCTTATTCTAAAGGGACTTTTGTTGTAATTTTTTGTGAACGTCCTTTTCAGTTCTAATTCACAAAGTGACCCTTAAAACCTAAATCTAATCAACAATGTCTTTCTTCTGGGTTAAAAAGTATTTTCAGTTGTTGTTTATGAAGAAATGCACAAGAAACCACAAGCGAAAATAATGAGTATTCTAGAATTAAAAAAGGGATATCTAATTCATAATCAGAGAAAGTTCTTAAGGGTACACTTATGATTCGCCGACGTAACTCTTTCTTTATATAGTCATTTGAAATTAGGTTAACAGTCCCTATAAACTTCTTATTTTATTATTATATTGGTCTAATTTTAACTAAAACTGCAAAGGATGAACAAGTGCAGGAATTAAGTAGATTTTTTGTCTTGGCCATTCATGAATGAAATCAGTTATCTTAGACTAGCAACCAAGACATTATTCTTAATAATGAGGGTCAGAAGAATCTAAATTTCCGTTTTTATTAAATCTAACCAACAACTAGTATAAACGCTAGATATTTTTTTTTAAATCGTATTTTTCCTTTTGTGGAAGTGAACAACATTTTTCAAAAATTGTTTTTATTATTTCAGAGATTTGTGTGAAAAAATGTCTTTTTCAGACGAGGACGGGTTTTTGATATTATTATTATTATTATTATCATTATTATTATGTTCATATTATCATAAATGTTATTTTGATTTGACAATGAAACAACCCTGCAGGATTTGTTGAAGATGACAACATTACAACTAAACCAACAAATAGAATGTTTGGGACAGGAAGAAGGTAAGCAGTCTAGGAAAGTAAGTAGGTATATAGTTTAGGACAGGAATAAGGTAGACAGTTTGGAACAAAGAGAAGGTAACAAGTTCGGGACAGAAAGCAGGTAAACAGTTTGGGACAGGAATAAGATAAACAGTTTGGGACAGAAATAAGATAAACAGTTTGGGACAGGAAGAAGGTACAGTTTGGAAAAGGAAGAAGGTAAACAGTTTGGGACAGGAATAAGATAAGCAGTTTCGGACAGGAATAAGATAAGCTGTTGGGGACAGGAATAAGATAATCAATTTGGGACAGGAAGAAGGTACAGTTTGGAACAGGAAGAAGGTAAACAGTTGGGGACAGAAAACAGGTAAACATTTTGGGACAGGAAAAAGGTAAGCAGTTTGGGAAAGGAATAAGATAAACAGTTTGGGACAGGAAGAAGGTACGGTTTGGAAAAGGAAGAAGGTAAACAGTTGGGGACAGAAAACAGGTAAACAGTTTGGGACAGGAATAAGATAAGCATTTTATGACAGGAAAAAAGTACGGTTTGGAACAGGACTAAGATTAACAGTTTGGGACAGGAAGCATTTACAGTACAGGACAGGAAGAACGTTTACGGGTTGGACACAGTTTGGGACAGGAGAAGAGTAAACAGTTTGGGACAGGAAGCATGTACGTACAGGTCAGGACAGGAAGAACGTATACGGGTTGGACACAGTTTGAGACGGGAGAAAAGTAAACAGTTTGGGACGGAAAGAAGGCGCTGCAACTTTTAATTTCAAATATTTACAACGAACATTAAAAATATTCATGTTCATATAATTCTAATCAAATTTTTTCTCAGGATTAACAGATGAAAGAATAGAGCAATTAAAGGTAAAATATGTTACTAAATTATGGGAAGGAGAGTACAAGGATAATGTCTAAAATAACATAAAATTGTTATTATAGAAAAAAGGACCTCAATAAAGAATATTTAAAATTCTAAAAATATACGGGGTATCCCTCGAAACATGACAGTTGGTGAATAGCTTAAAATGTCTTCTTCCATAGTTTGTTAAGAATTGTTTGATACCAGGGAGAATGATAAAAAAAATATTTCATGGCAGGTATATTATAGAAAAATTGATTTTAAAATAAAAATATATTCAAATATATTTGAGTAAAAGGTTATTCTAAAACTAAATAAACTGCATAAAGTCTTTAACATCTAATACAGTATATGGAAGAAGACATTCAAAACTATTCACCAACTGTCATGTTTCATGGGACACCCTGTATCTGACTCCAGAAGATTGACGAATGAATATCGTCTTTGCTCTCCATTTTCCCCAAGATAAGTCGCCATTGATTTTTCAAATGTTGCAACTCATAACTTTCTAATGAAGTTCAGGGAACTTTTCAGAAATAGTTCAGTTGGAAATACAAAATCCTCTGCATTGATATTTCTAAATTAAGGGAAAAAAAAGATGACGAAAATTCTACAGTGTCGAAACTCCGGAAATTAAAGAAAGACGACTTTTAGACCACATTTTTTACTTTAAATATTGCCATGAACATGAGACACCGCAATTGTGCGCTGTCAAAAGGCCAAATTCACTTAATAAATTATTTGATAAATTACTAGTAAAACTAATTGCTTTTTTAACCACATCAAATACAGTTAATTATTGCTTACATTTCGTCTTCCAATTCCAGTTTTCTGGTTATCACTGTATATCTAATGTTTAATAATCTAGATTGATTACAATGAACTGAGAAGAAATTTAAGGTGAAAATTGATTATTTTATTGCCAATTATGATTATTAACTAATAATTACAGGGGAAGAAAGTTCCAAACGGTCCTTACTGCTTAGGTTCCAAACCTGACACTAAGTGCCAGGTTTGGGCACAAATATTATGATCAACGTTCTAGTGCCTAGTGCAAATATCAATTAAAGAAACTATTTCCAACTAATTAATTAGCACGACAAGAACTAAAAAAAAACAATATTAAATTCTTTTCTAAAATAGAACTGTGAGCAGTCTTTCATTTTTAATGAAAACCCATACCATTTTCGAAACAGTTCAAGATTTTCCATTTTCGCACATATCGTGAATTCGAGTCTTGGACGCGTTTTGGAACATAAACCACTTTCATTAACAATTTCCATAATTTGTGAATATTCAATAATTCAGAACAAAACTATTCTAGTGTTTTAGATACAGAAAATAAAGTTGATTTCAAGTTTCATGATAAAATTTCCCGCAATTTCCTTTTCAATTTAATTGTAAGAAAAATATATGGTATTAATAATAAAAATTTTCAATGATATTGATAAGCCATTCTATTTGGAAATATCAGATTCAGAATAGAATGTATCTTCTACATTTTTATTGTTTTATTACCTAAATATTACCAAATACAAATATTTGTTTTGTTATCAAATTGTGTAAATTTTAGAAAATATCATTGATTTAAATCAGGTTTTGGCCAAATCACGGTTTGGAACTTTCTTCCCCTGAATTAACTAAATACTTAGTTACTCTGTGTAAAAAAAATTTTGGCCGATAATTTTTTTAGAAATAAAAACATCAAGGATATTTTCACAATATTTTGAATTATACATTTTGTGTTGCATCATATTTTAATGCATAATGAGCAATGGGTGGGGAAAGTGCAACAAAAATACTGGGGAAATAGATGTTTTGGCGGATTTCACTTTTTCTAAAATTCTTTTATTTTATCAAAATAAAAAAAATATTTTTTTACCTACACACAAAAAGAAAGGAATTAAAAGGCTTTTTCACAAAGTCTAATCATAGTCATTGATGACGTAAACCATTGATATTGATTAAACTTAGATTATTTGAATCAACAGAACAGAATTCATAGTAATTGAAATATCAAAGGTCTCCAACATTGGATTGCAAAGATATGAGGAGTAGATGATCAAAGTGGGTGACAAAGACTTAATTCCTTCATTTGATTATTTAGAATGACTCTGGATGCGACTAATGCAATAGAAGCGTTAAAAAGGTTCTATTTATTAAATATTGATATTATTCAATAATTTTAGTGATATTGATAATCTTTTTTTAAATAAAGCTAATAAAAAGGCCAAAGAGTTGTTTCAGGTGGTTACTGTTGTACCTTTAATCTCATGCATAACCTTTAACAATTTAACTTAAACCGTTAATTTTGAAATCGTTAATAATGACATGAAAACAAATGAACGGGGAAAAAGAACGAACGGATATGTTTTCAAGAATAGCGGCGACTTTCGTAAAATTTTCTGCTTAAAATTGCATGAAACGTAACGAACAAAAATGTGTTTTAACGGTTTTTAACGTGTTATAATAAAATTCCGACCGCTGTACAATTTATAGTATTTAGTTGAATCTCGTATTTTTAGAGAATGTGAACTACTACGCAAGGTAATTGATATACAGTGTGGACCACTAAACATGGCTTTTTGGAGACGGCTCTAAAGTCGCCTTATTTTTCACATTTTTTAACGTTCATTATTTTTCCCAAATTTAAAATTTTAACAATAGGTATTAAGTTTGCATACATTGTATTATGATCTACTTAGGCGCGCAACTATACATTTTTAGGGGGGGGGGGGGGCAAGAAAAATGTATATTATACTCAAACAATAAAAAACTAACCAACCGGATATTCAGTAAGTCAGATGTGCAGTTATCTGATTTGAAACAAAAAAAATCTATTCTGGTTAATGTAAATCACAATATTAATTAATTTACAAACTAAATATATATATTGTAGAGGATGGAGGATTCATTATTCATCCATAAATCAAATATGTACATTGTACTCAGACACTGACAAGAAATGCATTAAAAAAACCTGGTTTTACATGAAAAATATTTTTTATGGACCCACTAAACATGACTATTTATAGAAAATTCTTAATTCTTATTATTCTTCTATATGTAAACTATGTAAACTATGTAAACTTAATACTTGACGATCGTCTTCATCTTTAAGTTCGATGACAACAGGGTGTCTATATACGTAAATTAACATGACTTTTCATAAATGCAACTTGGAAATAAACTTTGCTCTTTGATTGTTAACATCATGCAGTGGCGCAACATGATAAGCTACAGCGCGATATAAGAAGAAATAGTAATAGAATAGAAGAATAGTAATTTGGAAATCAACAATGAGCCACAACAATAAAAGCTAAAAAATCGCTATTGCAAGTATAGTCGTGGATTTACAACTACAATCAAAAATAACTGTAATGTGATATCTCCGTGTCCTCCATGCAAAGATGACAATGCCCGACTTTCAACGATACCCTTGAAACCTTCATTTGATTAAAAATGTGGAACGTACCGTCGTTTTTTTTTACTCAAAAAATGTTTAAGTCTGATAATTTTTCCACAAGCATGAAATGTGCAAGTCACTTTCGCAGGGAAATCTCAAATGCAAACAAATAGTAAATAAATTCTAATTTATACATACTTGAACAGACAAAGCTTTTAAGGGTATCAGTGACACGGTGTAAATCTGTCAAATTGTCATCTTTGAGGAGAGACAACTTGAAAATCGTCTCTGATCTTCTTTAAGAATTCAAAAGGTTTTTACAAACAGGTAGCTCTAATTAAAAATGTACTTTTGAATTTTTAGGTATTTTATTATTATTATTTTATTATTATTATTTTATTTTTATTATTATGATTATTATTATTATTATTATTTTATTTTATTATTATTATTTTATTTTATTATTATTATTATTATTATTTTATTTTGCTTTAGATTAATGTAAAAATTATAAATATATAAATTAATGGATTATTAAAAATGTATAGTGATAACCAGAAAACTATGGAATAGGAAACCGACCTTCAGGCTCCAATTATGAATTAAAATAGTCCAATAAACATGAGGCACAGCATTTGTGCAGTGTAAACAGATCCGTTTTACTTATCACTGTACTTAAATACTATTTTTAAAGTTTGAAGGAGGTTTGGAAGAACTGGAGAACACAATTAAGATTGAGACGTCTGTCGACAACAATTCAGAAACTATTAAACTTAAAAAAGAGAATAAAAAAAAATTTGCAACCCTGGCTAACAAGAAAAATGCTGCTTCCCTTTAATAAATAATGGAAAAAGTAAAAAATATTCTCATTTATTAACTGTTATATTTTTCTTTTATCAATAATGTAAAATTTGCTTTTGAATAAAACGATCACCATGTAATATTTCAGATGAGTGAATACTGCATTCTTCAGTCTTCAAATATCAAAATAAACCTGAAACCTAATAAATCCACCCCCCACCCTTCCCATCCCACATTTCTCTCAGACCCAAATTTTCCATTCA